TTTCAGTTTATGGACTTTGACAGTTCTCTTATTCTGAAATACTTCACTGGTTATGAAGTACAGAGGTGTGTTATGATAGATATAAGAGAGATATAAGCATGTGGTGTTCACCCATATCTATCCATCCATCCATATGGATCTAGTCTAATGGGGCTTTTCCAATTTTCTGTGATCTGTCTTTTGAGTAGATCTCAAGCATGGAACTATCTTTTAAAATAACATTAAATTATAATGAATACAGTAAAAGACCATTCCTGATTAAAAAGAAAGTAACAGCCCCATGAAACTACATTACTGAAGTGTTTGTAGATCTTAAGTAGATTTCACATTAAAAATACTTGTCCAAAAACTATTTGACTTCTTTACTGTATCAGGGCTGGGCAGTTGCCAGCAAGAGAATTTTATCACAATATAAATGGTTTTTTAAGTGTTTGTTTCCAGCCAGGGTTCTCTCAGCCCAGGCCCCTCCCAGTCCTATTGTTTCTTTGTTCTAGCGGATATACAAAGGACTTAGTGTTTTGTTTTCTGGCCCAGATCGATTAGATAAAGTCTGCATATTTGAACTTCACCTTCTAGGCACGCAACCCATTATGGTTTGAAACACCTTGAAACTTAATGGCAGAATTTCATATTTTGCAGGTCTGGCAAAAAATGTTGTCTGGACACCAAGTCTTTTCTCAGGTTATCTTTCATTAGAATTTTACTGATTACCTTTGAAATACTAATGAAGATCAACTCATCTTGGTCTGGAGCTAAGAATGAGCCTTTTCAGTTATCATCTGATGGGATCCTTGTGAATTCATTCTTATTGAGTTTGGGGGGCTATCAGAATTCAGGAGAGTGTAGTCTTTATCTAAATCCCCAAAGGAAATGTTTTCTGAATTAGAAACAGCCATTTAAAATTTGTACTCTTCCTTACTTTTTTCTCCTCTGTTTCTTTTAAAAATCTTTGTTAGTAGGGATGGCTCACTGGTTAGGTGAGGAAGGGATAAGAGTAATTTGCAAATGAATATGATACAAAAACAAAAGCTACCAATAAAAATAAGTGAAAATTATGTGCTTCTTTAGGAATTTTGGCATCCGTAATTTGGTTTCTGGGTGATTATTTATGATAAGGTAAATGACAATGTGAAGCCTGGAATATTTGGTTTCCAGCCTCTTCTGGCACAGACTACCTGTGTGACCCTGGGAAAGTCACTTAACCTCTGTTTGCCTCAGTTTCCTCCTCTGTAAAATGGAATGATAATAATAGCCCCTACCTTCCAGGGTTGTTGTGAGGATCAAATGAGACAGTATTTGTAAATCACCTGGCACATAGTAATAGTAAGAGGGCAGAAGAGCCTGGTATACTATAGTGCATGGGACCATAAAAAGTCAGAAATAACAAAATGGCACATAGGAAGTGCTATATAATATTATTGTTTTGTTGTCATTGTCATTGTTGCCATTGTTACCATATCCATCCCAAAAGTAAATGGAATCATCATTTGGGAGGCATCTCAAAGGCCAGCCACTCCAATCTCCTCCTTTCATAGATGAGGAATAGTGTAGATGCCCATAAAATTAAATGGCTTGTCCAAGATTCCACAAGGAGTAAGCTGCAGACCTAAGCTATGAACCCAGGTCCTTGATTCCAGATCCAACAATATTCCCACTGTGTCCCACTGCCCCCTCAATGCTACTGAAGAAAATTGCTTATTTATAAAGAGAATAAAGAATCCTCACAGAAGCTTCTGATTTGGTTCTACCAGTTAGAAAGCTTTCCCCTGGGAATGAGTTGATTGTATTTTATTGTTTTGTTTTGTTTTGTTTTTTTAAAGAAAATTCTGAAAAAAAAAATTCTAAGGGCAGCCAGGCGGCACAGTGGATAGAGTACTGGCCCTGGAGTCAGGAGGACCTGAGTTCAAATGTGGCCTCAGACACTTAACACTCACTAGCTGTGTGACTCTGGGCAAGTCATTCAACCTCATTGCCTAGCAAAATACAAGAAAAAAGAAACTTACATGAAAATTTTATTACATATTTAAAAGGAGCAGCAAGTTGTACATAATAGATTTGCAGTTTCATGTACAATCATCTTTTTTTTTCTATTCTACTATGTTACAGAGATGCTTGTTTTATTTCTTAAGTTCAGAATAAAATAAATAAAAATTTAAAAAAACTAAACGAAAACTGAATAGAATAGGGATGGGGAAAGACCTGTGGTTTCATTAATAAAGGACATCCCTCTACCTATCTTTACTCTACACCTTAGAATCTCAGAGGATTGCCTAGAGCTCACAAGTAAAAGGACCTACCCAGGGTCACACAGCCTGTATGTGTCAGAGGCAAGATGTGAACCTATGTATTCTTGCCTTCAAGGCCAGCTCTCTAGCCACTAAGCCACACTTCCATTTGCTTTATCATAAATTGCTCCAAAACTGCAGGGATAGACTCTAGACCTCTAATTTCATTAATAAAATAAATCTCCCCCAATGCAGGTTAATTCCAGCTCTGCAACTTATAGTCTTAGAGATTCACTGAGAGTACTAAGAGCTTAATTGTTTTGCCCAGAAAGTGTAAGAAGCAAGACTTGAAGTCAGCTCTTTATAATTCTAAGGACAGTTATGTATCTAGTACACCATGTGGCCTTTCAAAAAAAAATCCTTAAAAATAAAATACAGTTATTTTGAACTCAATGTCACTTTATCTCTACTTTAGTTGCATTGACTACAGCAGACTCTTTCTCTTCCAAGGTCCCTAGAATTTCCTTGTGGGTTGGGTGTAATTCCAATTCACATTGCATTCTGAGGACTAAGATAGACCCTTTTCTATCTAATAGAAAAGATAGGTATACTTGCCCTGGTGGGTTCTTCATGACTAGAATACCCTGATCAGGTGGTCTCCAAACTTTTGGAAGCCTAAAACTGTGGAAGAATGTGGTAACCCCTTGGTTTTATTCATCTCTGTCCTGCTTTGACTGATATATTTGTTTCTCTGACATCTCCACAGCACATTAGAGTGCTATGTTATAGGAAGTGCTCACTAAATGTCATTGGACAACTATTAACAACTATAACAGTTAACAGTGGACCCTTTGAGGGTTCCATAATAGTGCAATCAACCCACTTAGACTGAGGACTGGCCAATCTGGGGACTCCACTCTACAGAAGAGGGGACCAGGGTTCCCAAAGCCATTTCAGAGCTCTGGAACCTTGGACTAAATGAAAAGCATCTGTGCTTTGCTAAAGTGTTTCCCTATTCTATCTCCCACTATTCTTTTCCAAACCCTCCTCTTATCTTGGGGCACTTAAGGGCAGGGTTGAAAGTCCCCTATAACTCATTCCCTGGACTGAAAGTTCAGAGTTTATATGTTGTTGGATAACCTGGATCATATGTTGTTGGTGTATGAACTCAGATTGGGCTTGTGGCCAGATGATGAAGATTCCTTAGCTACAGCATGTACTATGTTTATGTGGCACCAGATGCTAAGATAAAAGCTGGCTGTAGCAAGGGGAGAAATTTTATTTAAAATATACATGCTTCTTCACGTTGAATTTTTCTCATTACGTAAGCAAAAAAAATCACACTTTTAACCACATTTTTCAGGGTTTGTCCAGATATTTGGCTTGGTGTGGATAGTCGTGGATGGAGTGAAAAACATTCAAGGCAGTTGATCAAGAGACACAGAGTGAGAGAGAGAGACAGAGACAGAGAGACACACAGAGAAAGAGAGAGACAAAGACATAATTATTCTTCAGGACAAAGAAAATATAAAACTTGAATCAGTTGAACTCCAAGGGAATAACTACAACCAGCCAAATAAAATGTTTTATTGAATAGAAATGCCAATTTATGTCTTCTACTGACACTCCTATTCTGAGTACCACATCATGGTGTAGAGGTGACCTTGAGTTCTTCCAGGCTATGCCAGCAATTTGTAAGGTTTGCCAGGTCTGAGAAAACTGGAAAGACTCCAAGAAACATCCCATATATCTCCTTTCTGAGGCCCACACTTGCAAAGTTCAGAAAGGCATATCACCAAAGAGTTGGTCACCAAGCAGTTCATGTTTTGGGACACAGGAGAGCATAGAACTTGTGTTGGTAAAGGGAGTTCTGTCACTGATGAAATAAGCTTTTTTTTTAGTATCTGAAGAAATATATATTTACATGATACGTGTTTATACCAATGTTTTAATGAAGTGGCAGATTTGCTCTGGCTACTGTCATTTGCAAGGGAGCACAGGAATTCATAATATTTAACACTCAAAGAAACCTTAGGGATTATCTAGCCCAAACATCTTGTTTCATTGAAGAGGAGATTGAGTACCAGTTTGGTGAAAGTGAATTTGCCCAGAGTTGCCCAGATAAGCCAGGTTTCAAATCCAAGGCTTCTATCACCAAATTTTCCCCATCTCCATTACCAAAGCTCTTTCTACCACACTACAATGCCTGTTATAAATACATCTGAACAGTAACGCAGAGAATTCCTGCAATACAGGAATCCTTAATCTTTTTGCACACCACGGACCCTTCTGACAGTCTGGCAAAGCCTATGGATGCCTTCTCAGAATGTGTGTGTGTGTGTGTGTGTGTGTGTGTGTGTTCAGTCATTTTTCAGTCATGTCCAACTCTTTGTGACCCCATTTAGAGTTTTCTTAGCAAAGATAACTGAAATGATTTGCCATTTCCTTCTCCAGCTCATTTTACAAATGAGGAAACTGAGGCAAGCAGAGTGAAGTGACTTGCCCAAGGTCTGCAAGCTAGTAAGGGTCTGAGGCCAGATTTGAACTCATGAAGATGAGCCTTCCTGATTCCAGGCCTCATACTGTATCTACTGCACTACCTGGCTGCCCATGTTTTTATGTGCATAAAATAAAGTACATTAAGTTACGAAAGAAACCAATTATATTGAAATATAGTTATCAAGATATTGTTTTAAAGCATGTTCACGGACCCCAGGTTAAGAACCCTTACTATACTGCCACATCTTAGTCTCTTCTTTGTTACTTTCTTCACAGACCCTTTACCTCCCAGAAGGTTTAAAGTTGACGTGGACAAGACCACTTCTACAAGCTTGCACGTCTGGTGGGTCCGGTCTTTGGGAAAGGTGGATTCATATGAGCTACAGTTGTTCAATGACAAGAACCAGAAGATCCAGGAGACTATAATTCCAGAAAGTGTTTCACAAAATGAAAATACTTTTTCCAACCTCACTGCTGGTAGCAAATATTATTTTGCCATTCAAGCAATTTCTGGAAATAAAAGCAGCTCTGCGATTCACGTCAATGGATCTACCAGTAAGACTTGTCTATGTGTTATTAAATATTAAGTGCTCAGAATCATGCAGCATTAGAGTTAGTACAGATAGGAGAGGTCATTTAGCCAATTCCCATCATTTATAGACAACGGAGCTGAGACAAAAGGAAACCATCCCCCATTAAGTCAAAATAACAATAATAATAGTTATCATTTATATATCATTTTAAGGTTTTCAAAATGCTTTACATACATTATCTCAGGGCTTGTGTCCTCATTAATGTTTTCATCAGTTACTAATCTATTAAATGAATCAAATTAAATTAGTACCAGGGCTGATGCTAGAACCCAGGTCTCATGACTCCCATTTGAACTGTCCTGTCTACAACATCATATTCAACCCAAATTCTAGAGATCCTAGAAGTGTCATTATCCAAAGGACAGAAACTTCCCTACATCCTGCTCCCACCAGTATCAGTTTGGGTTCATGAAAAAAAATCATTGAGTTGGAAGGCCTGAGTTCTAGTCCTCATTTTACTATATGACCTTGCCCAAACCTAGTAATTTCCCTGGAGTTATATTTTTTTCTCATCTATAAAATGAATTTAAATTAACAGTCTCTAAAGTGATGACCAACTCTATCATCCTATATACTTAAAATGGAATTGTGTTGATCAACCTTCTTTTCTGAATTTATAACCTGAAATGCATTTATTTTTAATTATTTTCTTCCTTTAATCATTTTTGCCTGACATTAGCTTGGCATGAAGTTCCCTAAATCCCATTCTTTCACCTCTTGTTTGATTAGCTGTTGGGAACCAAGATAGTGATGAAATTTGAGGCAGTTGTTTGTTTATATTCTTGTACTTTCTATTGTATGGACCTTTTCTTTCCCTCATTTATATTCCCTCATTCCCCCTTATTTTTCTTCTGTTATCTCCCTACTTTATTCCTTCCTCCCCTTTCTTCCAATTCCTATTTAAGCTTGCCTTCCATAACTATTCCTCAGCTAGATCTTTCCTATAAAAAACTCTTTTTACTACATTTATGATTGGGATTTTAGAAGGCTTCTTGTAGTCCTTGCTGTGTTTAAGACGTTTTTTAGCATGTTCACACAAAACACAAAAAATGCAGCTGTCACTGCAGAGGCCTTCTAAATTGCTACCATTAAAATGACAGAAAAATAGTAGTTTATATTAAAAGTTAGTCTAGCTGAATAATAGCTATGGTGGGCATAAGTAGGAACTGTCGTGTTAACACGAAGTCTTACTACCAACCCTCTGGAAGCGATCCTGGATTCTTAATGGTCATGCCAGCAGGGCATAATCTCTAGCAGGTTCTACAATCCTAAAAAATACTCCAAGTATGGCCCCAGCATTAAAAGGAGTCTTTGTTCTAAAGATTAACCGCTAAGGTAAGGCATGTCAGCAATAGACTAGTTACTTATCAATGAATTATTTGGCCACGGCAACCCATAAAACAAAGAAAAATTATAACATAGCCTTTAGTCCTAGATGACCCTTTCCACTTCTGGATGTCTTAAGCCATCCATAAACAATTTGCCTTGTGGTATGCTACATGTCAGCCCCTTGTGCAATAGACATACTGTAGGAAGAGGTGAATCCTATCAATCTTAACAGTTGTTTGCCATAAATTCAATTTGAAGAAAGAAAGAAATTGAAGGTAAATGGAACACCGGTTCGTAGGTACTCCTTGGAGAGACCAAGAAAGGCGTTAGCATAGGTTGTTACTCCCTCCAAATAGAAGGTGACTTACCAGGGCTCCCAGAAGCTTTGAAGAGCTAAAATTGGATCATTTAAGTCTCCAAGTTCTTTTAGGGGATTTCCTCAATATTTTGGGACCACTGTATTTTTCCAGTTTTATCTCAAATTAATAAACTCTATGCTGTTCACCTGGCCAAACTGGACTCTCAAATGCCCTACCCAAACCCCTTACTCTACTCCATCCCCATCCATCCATCACTCTACATACTCTTCTACCTCTGTTTTTTTTAATCATACACCCAAAGGCTTGCTTTTGTTTCATCCCATGTTTCATGGGATATTTGGTCATCATAAATTGCAATACTGATGACAGAAATTTTCAAGAAGCTGATGTATCATTATCCATTGTTAAAAATGAAGAGAAGGAAATTCTACAAAGATCTGGGACAAGACCCTCCAAAGCAAATCAATAAATTCCAATGATTTTATTACCTTAATGCAAGAGAGGAAAAAGATGAAGATGGGGAGAAATATATGAGGAAGCATGATTCAGGAAGATGAAATGAGAGATACCAAAGACTTATAGTTTTCACAGAAGCCTCATACCTTTGAATCATCAGTGTTTTCTTTAGGAAAATAATTGGTAGCCTTTGGACATGATAAGTACCGAATAATACCATAAAAATGAAATAGATTATATTTTGACAGGCGGGAAAGGACTTGTTATTGATGTGGGGGATATCCTTGAATTAGCTGCTCAGGTATGGTCAGACCATCATCTTGTCAGAGTTAATATCATACTTAGTAAAAAGGAAGAAAAAAAGTTATAAAAATGAAGAAATATGTGGCATACAGTTGAAACAACTCAATCTGGAACTATGAAAAACAAGTAATTGACAATCAAAATTGGGAATTGGAAACCAAATCACATTGACAACAATTATAATAGCCTTATTTAAAAAAAATTAACCAATATAAATTAGTTACAGTAATACAAGAGATCAGAAGATCTCAGAAAGTGCCTCCGTCAGCAAACATTTTGACACTTTGACTTACTTGCCAAAAAGAGATGGCTGCCAAAGGTAATGCCAAGATAGAATGTGAACTCATCTGCAAAATCTTATGAAGGATTAGGACAGATGATCCTGAGCAGTATCATCTCACAGAGCAGTGAGAAGTGAAGAGTAAAATCAGCTCAGGAAAGCTTGGCTATATGTGCAACTAAAAAAAGTGACTTCAGGGATGAAGGTAGATGGACAATGAAGAAGAAAAACAGAAAATATTCATAAAATCATTACAACAAATTGTCTTCTCCATCAAGAATTGGTGAAGCCATTGCACTAGAACCCTCCATCATAGTCCTAGATGTGCTTAAAGATAAAATAGAAAACTTACTTAAAAAGAGCAAAGCATATATACAAGAAATTTGAATTGGAGGCAAGGCAATTATAAAGGCCTTCAGAGATTGAGATGCAAAGTAGTTAAAAGAGGGGAGAATACAAAATGTGTAAAAAAAAATATCTCTGACCCTGTTAATAACACCAAAAAGCCAACTAAGAGAACATCAATAATTATTCACTGATACATGTCTATTTCCCATTTGCACAAAATCTTTATGAAAGTTATTCATACACAAATCAAAGACATCCTCTATGAGGAGAAAAGTTGCTTTTATGAGCAATATTCAACAGTAGACCACATCTTTCACATTTCACAATTGAATGAAAAGAGTAATGAATGTGAGATTATAATTATTGTTTATTGAGTGAAAAATAATATGATTTGCTAGAGTAAAATGCCAATCTAAAGGTCATTTTTTTTTCAGCAAGGTGGCTCCCATACAAACATTAAAATCATATAATATCCCTTGGAAGACATAACAATATAAATAATCTTGTTCAATGACTCCCTAATCATAAATAGTATGACAAGTCATAAAATAGATAAGTGTATGTTTATTAAAAATAATCGCCACTTTGATGGGAGAGTTCCAGTACAGAGTCCAAGTCAAAGAAGAATTTCTAATAGATTTTGAGGTCCTACAGATACTTGTGTTTAAGTCTGACATTGTTCTGATTGCATCAAGCCCCCAAACTTTGCAGAGGCTCCTAGAAGACATTTTTAACCACTCAAAAGAATTTGACCTGCTCATCCGCACGGGAGAGACCAAGTGGATAAAGACTGCCTATTACCAAGATTACAAAATGCCTTTCCTTGGTTAACTTACAGAGCTTATCCATCGATGTGTGTATCTGAGATAAAGAATATAGATGGACAATTAACTGGGCACATATTTGAACAAGAAGAGGAGATAGGGCTGAACTGCCCTTGAGATATTGCAAATCCCTTCTACTTAACCCAAGCTTCCCAAGAAAGCAAAGGCCCCCTTTTCATGCCAACGTTCTAATAGAGTTATTGCATGGCTGTAAAATACAGTATTTAATAGCCTCTGAAGATTGATAAGTGAATATCACATAGATGGTAGTGGGAGGGCACACAGCAGGCTGAAACACATGAACAATGAATAACTTTGAAGGAAAACAGTAGTAAACCATGTCATCAAGAAATTAATGGTGTGACAAGAAGAAAAAATAGATTGATCATGTAGCAAGTGTGACAGATGAAAAATGGACAGCCAGGGTACCCTGTTGGTACCCTGGCAATGTCAGGAAAAATCAAGGAAGGTCTCTAGCATGTTGGGTTAACTGCCTTCTTGGTATGTTTATGCGAAGACATAGACAAGAATTGCAAAAGATGAGCCAGCATGAATGAGTCATGATCGTTTTGTTGGAAGAAACTTTCAAATCAATAAGATCATAAATCCATTTGAGTACTTGAGTATATGTTAACACAATTTTATGTAGAAGAGATTTCAATATAAGGCAGATCTTTCCTGGACCCTATTCAAGACTTAGCTCCTGCTAAGCCTACATAAGGAGATGATTTCATTTATAAAGTTGTTCCATATCTTATTATAGCAAGGTTTATTAACAATATGAATAATTCACATTTCTATAGTATTTTAAGATTCACAAAATGAATTCCACTGAATAACTCTATGAAGTGTATAGTGCAAATATTATCATCCCCATTTTACTGATGTGGGAACTGACGCTCCACAGGCACGAAGCTAGCGTTACAGATGAGATTCACGCCAGTGTCCCGACTCTTAAGTGCTGCTTTCTCGCTGAAATTCCTAAATTATTCAATTACTCTACAGTTTGCACAGTTGAGATTGCAGGCAAGCATAAATGAATGCATGTTCTGTATGTATATGTATATTGTCCGTGGAAATGATGACCCCTGACACTTTGTACCTGCCTTTTATTCCAACAGTACCATTCCCAGTGAAAGCTATCCAAGCCTCCACCAAGACTGATGCTCTCCAGGTTTCCTGGTCCTCAGGTCCTGGCAATGTGGATCAATATAGGGTGATATTACTGGATAAAGGGGGAATAGTTCATGATGTCAGTGCAGAAAAGCATGTTACTACTCACACTTTTCATGGACTGACCCCAGGCCATCTCTACAACCTCACAATTGTAACTGAAGCAGCGGGGCTACGGAACTACAAGTCTAAATTAATTAGGACAGGTAAGTCTACCCAGGCAACTCAAAAATTCATACCAAGAAATGTGATGACCTTCTCTGACGAATTAACTTGGGAAGGATATCACAGGACAGAATGAAATTGACTAACACTACCAGAGGCCCCCAAATGCTCTCAATCAACACGTATTTATTAAGCGCCACTCCTTTCATTAGGTTCCCCTAATGCTCCAGTCTCTCCCCTTTCTAACCCAGCCTCCACCTAACTGCTTGAAGTACAGAAGTCATTCTCATTATTCTTCCTCATCTGAAAGCTAACCTATTGCTGTTTCCCTACACACAATATTCCCCTTCCCAACTCCTAGACTTTGTAGTCCTGCCTGGAATGTTTTCCCTTCTCAGCCTCTCAGAGTCTCCAGATCCCTTCAAACTTCTACTCAAATGCTTATACTGGGTCTTTCCATATCCTCCCCCCACACTCCCAGTCCTTAGTCCATACCTACTGAAATAATTTTGTATTTACCTGTCAGTTTATCTGTTGTTTCCCTCATTTAAGCATCTTGAGAGGAAGAAGCATTTTGGTTTTTCTCTTTGTATTCCTAGATCCTAATATACAATAGGCATTGAATAAATACTTGTTGATTTGAATTTCTCTGAAGGCAGGAAAAAAATTTAGGTGAAATTTTTTATTTCTTATATGAACCCATCTAATGTGTTAGCGCCCTCATCACAGTCTCCTCCTCTTCCCATTCTTTCAGCATCCTTATTTTGGCTTTCAGCACCCCCTCCATAAGCACCCAATCACTTCATGCTGCTTCTGTGATGACCCAGGTCTTCTGCTATAGCATTCCACTTTTTCTGATTTTCATCTGGTTTTCACCTAAATCATTGCCCTGCTCTCTGAAAATCCTTTCTTAAATAAATTCAGATTCTAAGGCAGGGATTATTAAACTTAAACTTAAACACGGACCCCCAAAAGGTACATATATAGATTTCAAGAAGTCTGTGAATTTAGATGGGAAAAAATTGCAACTTCATTTTCACAAACTTTGGTTTCCTCTATAATCCTATGTAATTTAGTTTGTTCATTTAAAAACATTATTCTAAGAAGGTGTCCATAGGCTTTACCAGATTGCCAAAGTAATCCATGATGCAAAAAAATGATTAAGAACCCCTATTTTAAAGAAACCACCACCCAAGATTTAAAATGGCTTAGCAGTAATTAATACTATAGTTATGGTAGATATACCATGGTACATTCTCAGACACCATAGCAGATTGGTGGGAAAGATATTGGGGTCTGATGGTGTTTGGGTACCCCAATAAATCATACCATGTAAACATCTCTTCCCATGTGTAGAGAAGACATTTTTTTCACTGTGATTTTGTCAATTAACACTGATTCTGATCACAAGCCCTTTGTGAACCGATAAGATAGATTTTGAGCATGTTGTTATTGTGACCAAAAAAAAAAATTATTACAGTGTAGACAACCTGGTTGTGAGCCTGTGGGAATTTAGGGGGGATGGTGCTCAGATGACAGACTTAGAGTTCATTGCCAGGCTTATGTTTGAACTTTCAAATTGGAAGGACAAGCCAGAGCTTGTGCTCTCTTGACATAGTCTTGAATCCACAGTCCACAAACCCAAGGCATCAAAGTTAGACATTAATGATGGTGTAAGGACACCTCTATATAAAATGTAACCTAAGCCTTAAAAGTTATTTATATACATTAAGAGGAAAAGGTAGCAGGAATCCCCGTCCCATTGGTAATCCAGGATGAAATTATCTTCCTAATTTGTATCTATCTTGATTTTTGAGACATTAGTTAGATCCAAAAGTATACCAGAAATTAAGAAATGGAGGAAAGAGCAATTGTGAGATTTTGCCATATTGCTCTAGTGAAGTGACATCACAGCTGTCAAACTCATGAAGGAATTCAAAAATACAGGGTTTATTTATTTTTTAAACCTAACTCTCTCAGTAAATTAAGTAGGATTTTCTCTATAAGAATGAGGCATTTATCAGTCAGAAGATGTTTATTAAATGCAGCCTATGTACTCAAGCATGAGGATAAAGCACATCTCTTTGAACTATTATGTAATCATTTCTCATTTTTGTTTTTATAATAAAATGCCAATTAGATAGAGAAATGCTAATTAGATAGAGAAAAACATAAACCATAAAAAACCAAACTCTAACTGAAAACCTTTTGGTTTTCTTCATTCTTATTAGCCCCAGTGGAAGTCTCAAATCTGATGGTAACTAATGAGGATAGCTGCATTTCTCTCAAAGTCAAATGGAAAAGACCACCAGGAAATCTGGATTATTATAATATCACGTTGTCTCATCAAGGGAATGTTAGAGAATTCAGAACTATAGAAGCCAGGGTGACAGAGGTCCTCTTTGAAGGCTTGACTCCAGGACGCCTGTATCAGATCACTGTCTCTACCATCAGTGGTGAACTCTCTGCTCAGAAAATAGCAATGGGGAGAACAGGCAAACTTTGAATTTCAAAAGTGGAATTTGGTTACCTATTTTTTTTTAATCAGACCAGGTTACTATTTTGGGCTATTATTGAGACAGGGAAGGTAAATTCATTTTCCATGCCATAAAGAGTATATAATTAAACCAGGTCTTAATGCTAAGAGAAAAGTGAAAGATTAATCATCTCTCTGAATAATTCAAGAAAACTGGTTTAGATCTTGAAATATCAGGATGATTACTTGTTCCTTTTGGGCTGTGAAGATGTGGCCTTTGTGTAATTAATTGTTTTTTTTTTAATTGCACATTTCTAACAATGTCACCTCCTCACTACTGGAGATGAGATAATAAACAGGGACATCAAAGTTGACTCATAAATAATAAATTATTGAATACGCCGGGAGTCAAGAAGGGAAGAACATTTAATGGCCACAAGCATTCAGGATCTCCTCTATAAACTGCCATCTTTGGCAACTTGTACCTGCTAGAAATAATATAGGTATGATTTCAGGGGCCAGCAATTGATCAGTGATAAACTTTGTCCATTTCACTGTAAGATAAGCAATGTTGCAATAATATTCTCCTAGAGTTCAGGACTTAGAAATTAGGAAGACATGGGTTCAAATCTGTTTTTAGACATTATCTAGCCAAGCCACTACTAATTTCTGTGTGCCTCAATCATCTCAGAGATCTGCATGGATAAAAGGAGTAGTAATCCTACAAACTCTACCCCTAAAAAACACAGGCATTTGCAGAGTCTGTTACTAGAGTTGATAAAGAATAAGTTTCTTGAGCATTGAATTTTCCAAAATGAGGAATTTTCTGAATGGAGAGCTATTCTACATTGGCTTATGATCCATTAATAAAAGGAAAGCATATTAAAAGTCAGATTTTTATATTAGTCCTCTAATGTTTTCCACCTTTCTTCCTCTCCCAAATGGATTCCTTACTTGTTTTTTTTTAATCCTTTCATATTTCAGTTCCTGAGAAAGTTACAAAGTTGAAGCTGATCAGTAATGGTTGGATGAGATCCCTCAGAGTGGGTTGGTTGCCTCCTACTGGAGACTGGGAGTTGTACCGCATTGTGCTGTTCAATGGTTCTTCAGTGCTGCTCAACACTACCGTGGGGAAAGATGCAAAGGTCTTTGATTTCCATGACCTAGGGCTCATACCTGGAAGACAGTATGAGGTAGAGGTCACTGTTGAGAGTGGAGGCTTAAAGAACACTGCTCGCTGCCAAGGTCGAACAAGTAAGCAATGATAGGGAAGTTCTCCAAATATTGAATACAATGAAAAATGATCAGATTTTTAAAATCAGTCCTGGGCAAAAGGAAAGGACTGTCTGTAACAAGTTTATTGATTTAATGCCCTATTGAGAAGAGTGGCAAGATGATAAGGGCAACTACTTGGGGGTCAGTCATCCTTTCTGATGCCCGCTATGTAAGGCTATTTAAAGTTATTTTCAATATTTCACAGGACAAGGATGGATGTAGTTTGGGGCACCCTATCAATCTCCCCCACCCCCACCTCCAACCAGATGACTTAGAAACATGAAATCCAAAGGATAAAAAGAACATTTTAGCATATTGACTTACTTCACAGAGTTTTCCTAAAGGCCACATCCAAATATATAATGTAGGTTGAAGTATCCTAGCTATATTTGCATATCAAATGTGTGTGACTTAGGTATAAATTCCACATTTCTATCCAGACCACAGGGCAGCTAGGTAGTTCAGTGGATACAGTGCCAGGCCTGGAGGCAGGAAGACTCATTTTCCTGCATTCAAATCTGACTTCAGACACTTACTTGCTATGTGACCCTGGGCAAGTCACTTAACCCTATTTGCCTCAGTTTCCTCCTCTGTAAAATGAGCTGGAGAAGGAAACAGCAAACCGTTCCAGTATCTCTGCTAAAAAAAAAAGCCCCAAATGGGGTCACAAGTGTACAAAACGACTTAAATGACTGAACAACAATTAAAGCTTATGCTTTCACTTTTATTTTTTTAAATTTTTTATTAATTTATTTTGATTTATCAACAATCACTTCCATAAGCTTTTGAGTTTTAAATTCTCCCCCTCCCTCCCCAAGAAGGCATGCAATCTGATATAGGCTCTATATATACATTCCTATTAAACATATTTGCACATTAGTGATGCTGTAAAGAAGAATTAGAACCAATAGGTTCTATTGAAAAGAAAAAGGAAACAAAACACAACAGAAGCAAAAAAGAGCAAATAGTATGCTTCGATCTGCATTCAAACTCCATAGTTCTTTCTCTGGATGTGGATGGCATTTTCCATCATGAGACCTTTGGAGATGTCTTAGATCCTTGCATTGCTGAGAAGGGCTAAGTCTATCAACATTAGTCATCGTGCTTTCACTTTTAAAACCAGCCCCATACTAGCTTGATAAATTGGAATATTCTTGTGGAAGGAAGAGAACAGTGTATGGGTTTGGGCAACCTGTCACCTTCTCATCAGTCAGTGAGTGCGCTCATCACTTCATGCGTGCCACTCACCAACATGGTTATCCTCTGCTTTTTCCACAGCCCCCCAGCCTGTTGTGCAGCTCCGAGTAAAGCACGCCAATGAATCCTCTCTGAGCATCATGTGGCTGACCCCTGTAGCAGAATGGGATAAATACGCCATTTCACTAGCAGACAGGGATCTCATATTCATCCACAAGGCATTATCCAAAGAAGCTAAAGAATTCACGTTCACAGACCTGGTGCCTGGAAGAAAGTATGTTGCCACAGTTACCAGCATCAGTGGAGATTTGAGAAATTCATCATGGGTAGAAGGAAGAACAGGTATTTTTCTCTAATATATTTTAATTCAATTCAGAGAAAACAAAAGAACCTACATTCTTTGCCTTTCAGGAATCTAAAGTCCAATGATGTGTGTGCTATATGCCAATTAGATATACTATTGGAGAAGAATCACAAGACAGAAGTTCATCTTATGAAGGTTTGGGGGTCTTCATGGATTGCAAGTCAATGGTGTAATATCATAGCCAGTGTCTGGGCCCAAGAAGGTTTCATTACTGCAGCCTGTGCTGACCAGACCTCATTTATAGAAGTGTTGGATTCAGTTCCAGGAGCCACATTTGAGGAGATTATCAATGAGCTAGAGGGCATCCAGAGACTTTAAATTGTGCCATGTGAGAATCAGCTAAAGGAACCTGGGCTGTTTAGCCTGAAAAGAGAAGACTTACGGGGCATTATAGCTTTCATGTGGAATAGACACCAAGCTTTTATTTGGTTGCAAAGGTCGTTATTGGGCAGCTAGGTGGAGCAGTGGATAGAGAGCCGGGCCTGGAGTCAGGAAGACTCATCTTCCTAAGTTCAAATCTGGGCTCAGACATCTACTAGCTGTGTGACCCTGGGCAAGTCACTTAACCTTGTTTGGCTCAGTTTCCTCATCTGTAAAGTGAGCTGGAGAAGGAAATGGCAAACCACGCCAATATCTTTGCCAAGAAAACCCCCAATGGGGTCACCAAGAATCAGACACAACTGAACAACAGCAAAGGTCATTATCAGGAGCTACTAGTTGAAGTTGCAAAAGAGCAAATTTGGTCTTTTTATTTTTTTAATTTAATTCAATTTTATTTTATTTTTAGATCTGCATTCTCTCCCTTCCATCTTCCTCTTCTCTCCCCAACCCCCAATGAGAAAGCAAGAAAAACAAAACCTATTACAAACATGTATAGTAAAGCAAAATGAATTCCTGAATTGGTCATGCCATATATGTATATATTATATGTATATATATATATGTGTGTGTGTGTGTGTGTGTGTGTGTGTGTATGTATACACCTCAATATGCATCTCTCTACCAAAAGGCAGACGGCATGTTTCATCATTAGTCCTCTGAAATCCTGATTGGTTATGATATTGACCAGCATTCCTAAGTCTTTCAAAGTAATTTGTCTTTATTATATTGTTATCATCATATAAATTGTTTTGATTCTGCCCACTCCACTTTACCTCAGTCAAATTTAGTCTCGATGTAAGGAAATTTTTTTTCTAGGAATTACAGCTATTCAGCAGTAAAATAAGCTGCCTCGGGAGGCCATGAGTTTCCCATCACTGGAGGTCTACAGACAAAACTTGGATGACCACCTGTTGGAAATGTTGTAGAAGATGCTGTTGGTCAGGTACAAGTGGACCAAACTAGACAGCCAATGAAGTTCCTTCCAATGCTATGGTCCTACGTCTTCATCTCTAGCACTGGTTTTGTCACAAACTATGTAACCTTCAATAAGTCATTTATCCTGTATGGACCCAGTTTCCTCATCTATTCAATGAAAGAGTTGTACTATCCAATGTATAAGGTCCATTCTTGCTCTAAAACTTTCAAAAGCCTAAGGCAGACTTTACCATAAAGTTGAGCTGTAGTTACTTCAACCAAAAATGTTTTCTTCAAGGTTCCTTCCATCCTCAGTTCATAGGACCACAGATTTAGGATTATAAGGGATCTTGGAGGCCCTTTACTCCAACCCACACATTTTTATAGATGAAGAAACAAACCCAGGGAGGCTGATTGCCAGTGTCACACAACTAGTGAGTGTCTGAGGCAGGAGTTGAACCCAGGTCTTTCTATTATATAAATTAAATAGGTTAAATTCTATTAAATGTATAGATATTCACTTTGGAAGTGGAGATCCAGATCACTTATCTGAAGAAAAGTCTAGGATTTTCAAGAAAATCATGGTGCTGTTCTATACACAGTGGTAATCCTCTTATAAACTTTTTTGGCTAGGCAATAGAGGTTAAGCAACTTGCCCAAGGTCACACAACTAGTGAGTATCACGTGTCTTGAGGCTGGATTTGAACTCAGGTCCTCCTGACTCCAGGGCCTGTACTCTATCCACTGCACCACCTAGCTGCCCCTCTTATAAACATTTCTACCAAGGCTCCTTATCTTTGGAAAGGAGTGTGCCAAGATGCCAACCCCTTTCCATCTCATGTGGGAAAGATGTTTTTTGATAGGTGCTAATTAATAGAATGGGAATGCAGAGTCGGGGAGATGTTATCAGCCCATGATAAACACCAACTCTCTTTGGTTGTTGCATGGCAGTAACTAGCCCACATGCCAAAGAAATATTTGCCATCATGCCAGAGGTTGCTGAATAAACAATAGTCGCTGGGGGCAGCTAGATAGTGCAGTGGGTAGAGCAGAGGACCTGAGTTCAAATATGACCTCATTTACTAGCTGTGTGACCCTAGGCAAGTCACTTAATTTCAATTGTCTAAATAATAATAATAATAATAATCTCTTAGATGAAGAGAGTCCTCCAGCTTTCAGATGGGAGAACCTCATTCACTTTGGTTCATAACACATCTCTGAGTGTTTATAGAAGTGGAAAGAAATATAACTCTCTCTACTCAAATCATCATGTCTATATTTAGCTATTTATATGTTGTAACCCCCCCAAAAAATATTACATTAATTCCTTGAGAGCAGGGGTTGCTTTCTGTTTTGTCTTTGTGTACCCAGGGTCTTCTACAGTGCTTTGTACGTAGTAGGTGTCTAATAAGTGCTTATCAGACTGGATTGAGTTGTTGGGCTGTGGAGGTTTTGCTCAGAAGTAGTAGCCTTTCATTACTTGAGTTCTGTTTGTAACGTAAAATCACTCCTAAAATATGCACCTCCTAGTTTTTGAATCTTAAATCATTTTGATTTCACCTAATATAAACAACATTCAGAAGCAGAAGAACCTTCTGTGCCGGAGCTGACTTTCCATATGCTACAGGAAGTGAAGCTAGGAGTCTAGAGCAGAGAATTTATTGTTAGTGCTTTTAAGTTTGTCTCCAATTTTGACTCATTTTTTGTTATTGTTGTTGGACTTCCTTGGGAGTGACTAAATAACGTTTATTTTGTCTTCTCTTTGTTTTGTGGATATTTTCTTTCATTTCAGTGCCTGCTCAGGTGACTGGCTTGAATGTATTCAATCAAGGGACAACCAATAGTTTATTCACCAACTGGACCAGAGCACAAGGAGACATTGAGTTCTACCAAGTTTTACTAATTCACGAAAATGTTGTTATTAAAAACGAGAGTGTGTCCAGTGAGACCAGTGGCTACAGCTTCCACTCCCTCAAGCCTGGTGGCCTCTATTCAGTGGTGGTTACAACATTCAGTGGAGGGATCTCTTCCCGACAAATGGTGGGAGAGGGACAGACAGGTAAGAGAAGGGGAAAAAAAAAAGTTTGTGAACTATATCAATCAGAGCTTACAGGACCTGAGAGAAACTACTGCTGAATCTTGAAATTCCTCAAAAATACTACCATTGTCCCATAATCTTTGCAAAATGATGATGATGATGATGATGATGATGACAACAATAATAATATCCTTAAACCAGTACTGGAACTATCCAAGAGAGATCTGTGGACCTTAAAACAACTAGTTGTCAGCAAGGTAGTTCAGTAGTTAGAATGCTTGGCCTAGAGTCAGGAAGACCTGAGTTTAAATCCAGCCTTAGATTCTTATTAGCTATGTGACCTTGAACAAGTCACTTGACCTCTGTTTGCCTCAGTTTCCTCAACTGTAAAATGGGAATAATAATAGCACCTGCCTTCCAGGATTGTTGTAAGGATCTCATGAGATATTTGTAAAGAGTTTAGCACATAGTAAGTGTTTTGTAATTGTGCTATGCAAGTGCTATTATTATTATTATTATATTATTATTATATTATTATTATTATTATATTATTATTATTATAGGAAGCCATAAAGGAGGAGGGGTAACTAGGTGGCTCAGTGGATAGAGTGCCAAGCTTGGATCCAGGAAGATTCATCTTCCTGAGTTCAAATCTGGCTTCAGATACTTACCAGCTGTGTGACCCTGGGCAAGTCACTTTATCCTCTTTGCCTCAGTTTCCTCATCTGTAAAATGATCTGGAGGAGGAAATGGCAAACCATTCTAGTTTCTCTGCCAAGAAAACTCCAAATGGGGTCACAAAGAGACAGACACAAGCCAACAACAACATAAGGGAGAGCTGGGGAGAGTAAAGGGGGAGGAATACAAAGTGAATTTTCTGAAGCCTTTAAGAGAAGTGCCAGAAACCTTTTGTGAGGATGTGATAACCACTCGCTGCTGTAAATAATCCCCATCCAGCTTCTTTCCTTTGAACTGTTTATGTTGCAACTGTCAGGAGAGTTGGATTTAAACACCCCCCAATTGCCAAGTTTACACATGCAATGAGATAAAAAGCCCACTCTTAGGAAAAGTATCTCCCTGGTTGTATGGTCTTCTTCCATGGCAATAATGTGGAAAAGGAGGTTATCTCCATCATATTTGGCCAGAAGTAGAACCAGTAAAATTCAAAAATTGTACACATTTACACATATTTTTCTGCACTACTCATAGAATAGAACCAGTCTTACAGATTCTAAACAATGCTTGAATAACTTAGGGATTTCTGTTCTAGTTTATTTAGTTAAAAAAAAAATCAACACTCCGATGTGGAGAATTGATTTGCTTAGATTTTTAATAAGATACCATATCCAATTATGCTACATAGCTGCCACCCCCAACTCCATCTCTGCTTCTCTTCTCTTTAAAAACCAGGCTATTTTAGATTTGTACAACTTTAATCACTATCCTTCACGTTTATGGTCACCAGCAACAGAGATAACCAGTTACTTTGTGAAGGTGTGGACTCTCATTGACCAGATTCATTTTTAAAGACTTCTCGATAATAATAGGTCAAGCCCTTAGAACATTTGGAAGTGGCTCATTTTAAGCTTGGTACCAGACACTTCATTACCCCTACAAGCAATTAGGCTAACAATCGATCAGCATTTAAACACAGAACAAGCTTATTAAAGTGGATGGAGTGCCAGGTTTGGAGTCAGGAAGACTCATCTTCCTGAGTTCAAATCTGGCTCTAGACACTTACTAGTTATGTGACCCTGGGCAAGTCACTTCTGTTTGCCTCAGTTTCCTCATCTGTAAAATGAGTTGGAGAAGGAAATGGCAAACTACTCCATTATCTTTGCCAAGAAAACCCAAATGGGGTCACAAAGAGTCAGACACTGGGGCAGGTAGATGGTGCAGTGGATAGAGACCTGGAATCAGGAGGACCTGAGTTCAAATCCAGCAACAGATACAAAACCATTACAAGCTGTGTTATTCTGGGTAATGTCACATAACCCCAACAGCCTCTCCCTCCCCTCAAAAAAGGAATCGGACACGACTGAAATGACTGAACAACAACAAAAAATTACAAAAATTAAACTATTCAAGCACCTTTAGGAGACCACTAGTTATAATCCCCTTTCTGGTAAACTCTAAATTCCCTACCCTACTCCCCAGACGGTCAGTTCAAGTTCCTGCCAACTTACAGCACCAATTAGTTTCTTTCTTAAGCACTAATTTTAGGAATCCCAGTACTGACTCAATACATTTGCCTCCTTGTCACCCAATTTCTTATCCTATCATGGGTATACATGCTCCCTTTCTCCAGTACTTTAAGTCTGTCCTCATCTCTCACTCTCATCTTGGTCCTTCAACTCTTCCATACTCTACATGGCTCCCATGGTCTGGGCCAGGAGTAAGGAACCTGTGGCCTGGAGGCCACATGTGGACCTCTAGGTCCTCAAGTATAGCCCTTTGACTTAATCCAAACTTCATAGAACAAATCCTGTTAATAGAAGGATTTCTTCCCTAAAACTTGGACTTCGTCAAAAGGCCACACCCAAGGACCTAGAAGGCCTCCTGTGGCCTCAAGGCTGCAGGTTCCTCAGCCCTGTCACTCTGAGCAGTCTCTTTGCTCCAACCTACACCTGGCATCCACTTCTAGCATCTCTGTCTTTCAGTATAGCTCTCCATAAACCCTTAAATTTGTCCAGAAAGGCGACAGTGACCACAGTCCTCCAGCATAATCATAGTGGAAGCATGACCTGCCCTCCCCTGTGGCTTTCTCTCATAGCAATCATTTCTCAGAGCTTTTCATGGGCATAATACCCTAGTATCTCTGCTTTTTTTTCAATCCCTAATGTGGGAGAAATGAAGATCTGCCAAATCATTTCATAACTATTACAGTCATCTTCGCATGACAGCTACATATATATTGAAAATATATCCCAGTCCTAAGAATATAAACAACATAGTATTTTTTATTTAATATTTTATTTTCTCCAATTCTATGAAAAAAAATTTTAATATTCATTTAAAACATTTGAGTTCCAAATTCTTTCCCTCACTCCCTCCCCTGGCCCCCTCATCAAGCAATTTGATATAGGTTATATACGTGCAGTCGTGCAAAACATATTTCCATGTGAGTCGTGTTGTGAAAGATAAATAGCCCAAAAACAAAAACAAAACAAAACAAGAAAAATAAAGAAAGTTTAAAAAAGTATGTTTCAATCTGCACTCAGATTCCATCAATTCTTTCTCTGGAGGTAGATAGCATTTTCCCTCATAAGTCCTTTGGAATTGTCTTGGATCATTGTGTTGCTGAGAAGAGCTAAGTCATTCACAGTTAATCATCATATAATATTGCTGCCTCTGTGTACAGTATTCTCCTGGTTCTGCTCATCTCACTTAAGCAACAAATTCTTAATGAATCAAATAATTAGCCATCACCTCTTCCAAGAGATTAAACCAAGCCAGTTCAGAATATTTTGTCTCTAGTCAGAAGTAGACCCATTCATTTATACTCGGGCATCTAATGCAATGTTCTTTGCACAGTTTACAGCACACGGCACCATGAATTCAACCACTTTTCTTGAAACCCTTTCTTCTCTTAGCTTCTTTGACACCATACTTTGCTGAATGGGAAAAAAAGGCCAGGTTGTGATTCAGAAAACCTACCTTCTAATTCCAGCTCTATGATTAATTAGCTCTATGAGCTTGGATAAGTCACTTTTAGAGCTAAAACCAGAACACCCTGCCTTGTCCTAAACATTATACATCTACTGATGTATTTGCCTATATTATATTTGCTTTTTTTTTTTTTGGTAAGGGTGTCATACTATTGACATATATTGAGATTTCGGTCAATAAAAACCTTCAGACCTGTTTCATAGCAACTATTTTAAGCCAGATGCCCCCACTTTATACTAGTGCAAATGATTATTTTAAGTTTATTGATGAACTTCATATTTATCTCTGTTAAAATTCGTCTTGTCAGTTTAGTTTTATCTTCCCATCCTTTTTAGTAGCTTTTCAAATCTTGATTCTGTTATTCAACATATTTTCTGTTCCTTCTATCTTTCTGTCATTGGCAAGTTGAGTAGTTTTGCTTGAGATCATAGAATCAAGGATTTAGAATCAGAAGGGAGCTTACAGGCCACTTGGTGCAGCTCCTTCATTTTACAGATAAGGAAACTGAGGAACACAGTGGTGATGTCACTTATGCAGGGGCATAGAAGTAGTTATCCCTAGATCACACAACATATTAGATCCACCTCATTTTCACAATAGTTAATAATGTCTTTTATGATACTTCCTGTGTCCAAATTATAACCTACTTATACCTACCATGCATCTTTCCATTTATGAGAAAGACATAATGATGAAATAAAAACTAGTTCTGATGTCTAAGAGTAAAAGAAAACAAATTAAAATATGACACATGAAAAAGAGTCCCAGAGTATAAGGAATAGTCGTTACACAAAAATAGATATTGACATCAGGTTGATGACATTTCATGTATAGACACCTTTCTGTATCACAAGAGAAGATAGGAGGGCACCATTATCTGTTTAAGTTGTGAAACTGTGTTCATTTTCCAGCATCTCACAACTCAAAGCACTTCAAACAACTATCTCTGTAGGTTGATATTAGGCCTAAGGAGCAAAGTAGACTAATTTCTGTAAAAGCAAACAACTCCTAGAAAAATCATTAACAACGGTTTATTTTATAATTTGGTGGGGGGGAAATAAACATTTTTAGATAGGTAATTGTAGTGCAGTTGACCTTTGAGTCAAAGATTTGGGTTCAAGTTATACCTAGGGAATGGTGTGCTTGTAAATGTTTAACAACTAGCTCAGGATGGGGAGGAATGTATGTTCAACGAATTTTTAAGTTTGATCTTCATTATTAATGTTTTCTCCATCACTTTCTCCAGTTTGGATGGGCAACAAAACAATAAGTCAAGCCCTGATTCGCATTTGCTGATTTCTGAGGTATAAATGCTCATGCTGAAAATTTAAGAATGGGCGCTCTCAAAGTGGTACCAGCTGGCTCCAGCTGACACTTGTGCCTAGGGAGCACACTGGCTGTGTGACCTTGGTTTCCCAGTCACTTAACCTCAGTAACTTAACCTCAGTGTTCTTGTCTATAAAATGAAAGAGAAGGAATGTACGACCTCTTTCAAGGTCCCTTTCAGCTCTAAATCTATGGCGATATACCCCTCGGTACTGACTGAGTGACTCTGGACAAGTCACTTTGCCTCTTAGTGCTCTGGGCAGCTCGCTAAAACTGCAGAGAATTGCAGAGACGCCTGGTGACCTGTATTGGTGGAGGGAGTTTTCTCCTCTAGGAATTCCACATATTAATGAAATCAGAAGTCCAGTCCCTAATCCTATAAACATTGGCTGGTTGAACTGATACCTTGTACTATGATAATAACTGTGTCATTTTCTGTAAATATTGAAAACATCTAGATTCTTTCTGAGAAACACAAGTCTGATATTCAGATATGCTTGTCGAAATTTAAGCTGACTTTTCCTGACAGGCAATGATGACCATAATAAACTAGGGATACGCTGTTAAACGATTGACAATATTCTGTCAACATCGATTGATGATAGAAATATAACTAAGACCGTAATTACATCATTTGATAAGAATCGACCCTTATTTATAAATACAGTTAGCCACAAGTAAAAAAAGTTACCATACACTAGCATCTGATGTATGACCTGCTTAAGACTTTCGACTTTCTTCCTACCACTAGGGGGCAGGAAATACTTTCGTGATGGGCTCCGTAGCAGTGAGGATTACTGATAACCCCCTAATGATGAATAACCAGAGGGCATGAACTTCACAGTGCATTGATGTGGGAGGATTTTGAGAAAAGCCATTCAGTTCTTCATATTTTACCATAGACAACATCATCATTTTATCGATTATTTTGATTTGCTAAACTGTTCCCTTCTCTGCAAAGCACATTACTAAAAAAATTAAAATAAAAAAAATACTCCATTCCTAGAATACTTTAAAGCAGAAGCAGAAAAAATATCCACCCTATTTAAAAAATGGCAAGAATGACAGCATTTTAGTTACACATTGGGGTTATATCAAACCAAGACGCAAGTAGAGAACACTACGAATAGTATTCTATACCTAGAGTCAAAAAGATTTTAGTTCAAATCCAATCTCAGACAGTTAATTAGTTATATAACTCTGGGCAAACTAGAGGTTACTCTGCCTCAGTTTCCTCATCTGCAAAATGGAGATAATAATAGCACCCACTTCCCAGGGTTGTCATGAGAATCAGAAGAGATAATGTTTGTTAAGAGCTTGGCAAACCTTAAGGTGCTATATAAATGCACTAGAGTTCTTTATGTCAGTCACAAGTGTTCTGAAAGATAATGTGGAATCCTGACTTTTCCTTTAATTCTTATGTGATCAGATTAGATACCAGAAATTCCTGTTGTTTGATGACAATGACATATTACTAATACTGCTCATGTTTTCTCTCTCTCTCTCTCTCTCTCTCTCTCTCTCTCTCTCTCTCTCTCTCTCTCTCTCTCTCTCTCTCTCTCTCTCTCTTTGTCCCCAGTCCCTTCTAGTGTCAGTGGAGTAACACTGAATAATTCTGGTCGGAGTGATTACCTCAGCATTTCCTGGCTACCAGCTCCTGGAGATGTAGATAGCTATTCCGTGACTCTCTCTCATGGTGATAAGATTGTTCAGTCTCTTGCTATTGCAAAATCCACCAGCGAATGCTCCTTCAGCTCTCTCACTCCTGGCCGACTGTTCAACGTAACTATAACCACAAGAAGTGGCAAGTATGAGAACTATTCCTTCGGCCAGGAGCGCACAGGTGAGAATGTGTGGAGAGACAGGCCCTCCGCCTGAGTCCGGTCATTCCCGTGGCTCCTGGGGCTCTAATCCTGGAATAGCTCGGGGGTAGTGTCAGTGAAGCCGCAAAACTGTAATGAAGCCGGGCAAAGGATGTTTATTCTGGAGGAGATAAAAGCTTAGGGGTGATCTGGCTCCAAGTATTTTAAGGGCGGCCATGTAGAAGCATGGTTATTGTACTTTTCTGCTTATCCCCATAGGGAAAGAAGTAGGTGCAATGAAAGAGGAAGATTTAGGCTTGATATAAGGGGAAAAGTCCTAACAATTAGACTAGATGGTCTCCGAGGCCCTCTCCAACTCTAAGCTATGGTGATTCTGAAAATCCTTTTGACCTCAGAAGCTCCTTATGTGGGCAAACATCTATTACCTTCTCACTTAGAAAAATCACAAACACAGACTGGTGTCAAGTACTGTGTTTCCCTTCAAGTGTATACACTTCCATCATTAAGTGGTGTTCAGGGATTTCTTCTGAAGTTCATGGATGGCTTTAAAACAGACTTTACACTTCCTTTTCCATAGAAACAGGAATGAAGATAGGGATGGGGTTGGGAATGGAGATAGGGGTGGGGATAGAAATGGGGATGGGAATGGAGATGGGGATTGGGATAGGGCTAAGGATAGGAATGGGAATGGGGATGGGGGTGAGGATGGGGATGCGATAAAGAAGGGGATGGAGATGGGGATGGGGATAGGGGTGAGGATGGAGGTGGGGATAGGAATAGGAATGGGAACGGGGTTGGGAATGGGCATAGGGATGGAGATGGGGATGGGCAAGGGCATGGGGATGGGGATGGGGATGGGGACCAGATAAGTTATTTTATTTCAGTGTTGAGAAGTCATATGAAACTCCCAAATTAGAAAACTGTCAAAGTAGGCAGGCATCTTCTTGGAAGCTCATAGTTTTAGAGTTGTCTAGAGCACAAATTGATTAAGTCACTTCCTTAGGGTCACTCAACTAATATATAGCAGTCAAGTCACACAAATGTCAAGATGAAATTTTGACAAAAATAGTTTGTATTCTGACAATAAGAGCAACATCTTAGAGCTCATGATTCATTGAAAAGAGAACAACTGGATTTGGAGAACTGGAGAGCTGAATGATTGCTACTTACTACCTGAGTTACCTCAAGCAAATCGCTTAACCTCTCTGTGCCTCAGTTTCCTGATCTGTAAAATAAAAAGTTGGGCTAAATGATATCTAAAGGCTCTTCCAGTTCTAAATTTGTAACACTATGTGTGCTCTCCAACACAATGAGAAAAGAAAATTAACCATCATCTTACACAACAAGCTAACCTTCCAAGATACGGAGATGCAAAGCAACAGCCTCTGACCTTAAGAATTTTCTATTAAGTGATAAATGGCTTGTACACATACATTCTGAAGAAGAGATACTTGTCCCCTGCCTCCAAGTCCCTTCTCTGAGCATATACCAAATATAGATAGAAAAGGAGATTCAGACTGATGATATGGCCACACTTAGCTGAGAGCTTAGTAGGCCAAATCTGGCCTCATTCTCCTTGGCAATGTGGCTTTGCTTTAATCATCTGTAATTAGTACATTGCATAAATAATCTTCCTAAGTTGGCATCAACTTTGCATAAAATCTTTCTTCCTGAAATGTAGGTCAATCCTTCATGAAATAAATACCTTGCTGTTGCCATATGATTAAGAGCCTTAGAACTCATTAATAATCTTTATTGAGTACCTACAACGTGCAATAAGCACTGAGTTTACAAAGATGTGGTACTGAGCATACAATACATAAAAGATAAATTAAAATAAAAATAAATAAAACAAATAATAAATTAAAGTTAAATTTTAAATTATTTTTATTTACATATAAATGTTCATATTGTCTTCTTGAAGGCGAGGACTGTTTTGTTTTTGTCTTTGTATCTGCAGCACCCGGCACAATGCCTGGCAGATTGTAGGTGCTTAATAAATGCTTATTGATTGATTGAATGTCCAACATCATGTGTTAAGTGCTAATTGGATAGCATGGGTGCTACAGGTGTTCAAAGAAAGAGGTCTACTGTATATAGCTTAAGTTTTTGGGTTTTTTTTTTAAGATACCCTTCATTAAAAGGAGCCTACAAGCCGTCAACCCTTTCACTGGCATGGCTCATACTTCAAGGTCTTCTGACTTCAAACATCACTTTTTTCTACCCCACAGCACTGTATGGGTCAGATACTATCTTAGATGCTGGGGACACAGAAGCAAGTTGCAAGGGCAGGTGACAAACATTTACTAAGTGCTTACTATGTGCCTAGCACTGTGATAAGTGCAGGGGATGGAAATACAAGCAAAACAAAACAAACACAAAACAATCCCTTGCCCCCAAGGAGCTTACATTCTAATGGGAGAAGAAAACATTGGGGGTGGAGGGCAGGGAGGGACAGAATGATGCAGTCCTTTCCCTGGAGGAGTTTACAACCTAAAAGAGTACACATGATATGTACCCAAATGTTCAGAGGAAAGGATGCTTATCCCAGTCCTAAAGGCTCAGCACACAGTAAGGGAGATGGAAAATGATTAAATGCCCTCACACGGATTAGAGCTTTGTGCACCAAATATGGCTTCATACTACTTGCTGCTCTTACTTCCTTTTAACCATTTGTAATGAACATATTTTTTAAAAATATTAATTGTATAATAGTCTATGGCTGGATCTTTTTTATAGTTCTAAACATAAAATTATAATAGCTTTAATATTGTACAACATGTCTCAGATAGACAGATGCCTACTGCAAAACAATAGAGTTTAGTAACCATGAGTTACCAGTTACCAGATTTAGATCCATTGAGATTCTAGCATTTCCATCACCATCATTTTCATTAACATTAATTACCAATTAAGAATTTTAATACTCATTCACATGCACGGTGTTGTGATAGGTATCCTATGGGGGCTATTAAAACAGTCTGGTCAAACAAGCAATTAAACTGAGTAGGTGCATTAGAAAGAGTCCGAGAGTCTGGGTTCAAATCCTGGCTCTGCCCCTTACTACTGCCCCACTTTAAGATTCAGGTATCATTCCCTACTACCTCAAAATTCAGCACTTAGTGAATAGACTTCAGGGTCTTAGGGGGAAAGCAGCATTTCTGTGCTGCCCCTGGTTTCCCACTAGGGTCTACTTACTCTATTCAAAGCAGCTCTGCCGTCCCACAGCTGCTATCGTGGCCCCAGGTGCCCTAACTCTCTATTCATAATCCCTGTTATTTCCTAGCTCAGCCCCTCTGCCACCTTGGATAAGTCACTTAACCTCTCTTGGCTTGTTTTCTTACCTGTCCAAAGAGGATATTTCACAATAAGTTTCCATCTCTAAATCTATGATCCTCGCTAATTTCATTCAAGTGTCACTTCGCCAGTATCAATGAGTCATAGTAATAATCCATATCTTCTAGTAGTTTAAGTTCATAACTAATACGAAATTAAGGGCTGAAAGCTACCTAGTAAAGGTCAACTATCGTAGCCTCTTTATTTTATAAATTGAAAGACTTGGGATGGAAGTGGACAGCTGGACAAATCTAGACCCTTGTCTGTAATTTGTTTCTCTTCAGAATCCCTAAACTTCTAACGACTCTCACTCTCTTTCAGTGCCCTCAAAAGTTCAGGGACTTACTATTAGCAACTCTGCCATGAGTGACCATTTGAAAGTATCCTGGCTGCATGCCACTGGAGATTTTGATCAATACGTGGTTGTCATCACCAACAAGAATAATTCCGTCCAAACCAAGATCATCCCTAAGACTGAAAATGAATGCATCTTTGGAAATCTTGTCCCCGGGCGTCTATACAGTGTCACCGTTAGTACCAAGAGTGGAAATTATGAAGCCAGTGAGCGGATGAATAAGAGAACAAGTAAGTTGATTAACTCAGAATTTTGGTTCTGAGCTCATAGACTGGCCTCAATCTTTGGGGGTTTCTCAGCACTAATAATCTTTAACTCGTGTCCCCAACAGAACTCCCCCTGGGAATATCATAAATGTGACTTGTGTCAAATGAGATAATGCTTATAAAGTAGTAATCACAGTGACCAGTACATTGTAGATGCTCAATAAATGCTTGTTCTTGCCCTTTCCTGATCCTACTCCCTTCTATACTGCTACCCCTACAACTCCGAGGCTTAGAGCATCAGATAATATATGCAAAGCACTTTGCAAACCTTAGAGTGCTATATAAATCTTAACTACTGTTATTGTTGTTATGTCATTTCAGTCATGTCTGACTCTGTGAGCCCTTTTGAGGTTTTCTTGGCAAAGATACTAGAGTGGTTCTTCTCTAGCTCATTTCACAGATGAGGAAACTGAGGCGAGCGGGGTTAAATGACTTGCCCAGGGTCACACAGCTAGTAAGTGTTTGAGGCTGGATTTGAACTCAGGAAGATGAGTCTTCCTGACTCCAGGGCCAGTGCTCTAGCTACTGTGCTACCTAGCTGCCTTTAGTTTAATTACTTTCTTGTTAAAGTTAACGTTCAGTTTTTAAAACCCATAAATAGTGGGAATTCGTCATTTCACGTTCAGTGGTTATAAGATCACAGAGCCACAGCCGCCATGGTGGTCCTGGGCACCTTAACTCTCTAGTCACAATCCAAGTTCTTAGCTCAGCTCTCTCTCTGATTGCTGTCTCTCTGCTACCTCTCTGACTGCTGTCTCTCTGCTGTTTCAGCAGTTCAGTCATTCTCCGATGACTGGTTCCTGCTCTCCTCATGGCTCCCCAGCCACAAACAACCAATCCACATTCATTAAGCACTTACTGTGTGCCAGGCATTAGAGCCTGGGAAGTTTCAGAAGCAGCTCAGCCCCTAGAAGCTTCCCGTGGCTGCACAGGGAGAAAGCAATTGCCTGCCAGACAGTCATATTCTTCCCATTAACTTCCAGCCTGGCTGACATAATGGCATTTTACAATTCTATGATGCTAAAAAATTAAGCGCACAAGATCTCCTTTCATGAAAATCAGCAGATTTTTAATAACACCTTACAGATTGCTGTGCTTAATTGTACATGAGGAATGTTAAGTGGTAGTTGGAGGGAATCTGGATTTATTTTTGCAAGCACACTTAATAAGGCAGCATGGATTGTTGGAGAAAGTGCTAGGCCTGGACTCAGGAAGACCTGGTTTTAAATCCCACCTTGTCACTAACTAGCTGCAAATCACCTTGCCTCAGCCTCAGTTTACTCATCTGTGCAATGTACTTCACAAGGTCGCTATGTGGATCAGATGAAATAATGCATGTAAAGAGCTGTGTAAAACTTTTTAGAGCAAATCTAACTCCCAAGTGTGGAAACTCCCACCACAAATGCAGATGGAAACTGTTCTGTAATGATTGTCTGTTCAGTAAATGATTGTCCTTGAGAGTTGCCTAGGGCACTGAAAGGTTAGATGACTTGTCCAAAGTCACATACCTTGTGTGAAAGTCAGGACTTGAACCTAACTCTTCTTGACTCCAGGCTAACTCTCTATCCACCATTTCACATGTCCTCTCTAAAAGTCAATTACTATTGCTATTACACTTCTACGAATACAATTCTTAAACAAATTTTGTAATAGCAATAACAACTAGCATCTCTATTGAGGTTTGCAAGGTGCTTTATAAATTATGTCTCATTTGATCCTCACAACAAACCTGGGAGGTAGGCTGATATTATCCCCACTTTACAGATGAGGAAACTGAGGCAAACAGAGATTAATTAAGTGACTTGCCCGGGATTGCACAGCTAGGAAGTATCTAAGACAGGATTTCCTGACTCCAAGGCATTCAGTACACTGAGTCACCCAGCTGCCTAGCTACACACCATGATGGATCATTTTTTTTAGGTACTTGAATACTTTGATAGCTCTGTCCACGTGACTAGATTCTCCACTAAGCCCATCAGTTCAATGCTTCCATTTCTCATTGAGTTATTCTAAAATTCTCCATTCCCTGCAGTCCCAGAGTCTGTGAAAGAGTTAGCGCTGCGTAATAGGAGTACGGAAGAGCTGCATGTCACCTGGGTGCGGGCTGACGGAGATGTTGATCAGTATGAGATTCAGCTTTGCTTCAATGATGTGAAGGTCCTTCCTTCCCTTCACCTTGTAAATACTGCAACTGAGTATCGGTTCACATCCCTAACCCCGGGCCGTCTGTACAAGATTCTCGTTTTGACAATCAGCGGAGATGCACAAAAGTCAGCCTTCATTGAGGGCTTAACAGGTAATTAAAAGTATAGTTCTTCAATGTGAACAGGCCAAGAGAATAGACATAGCATAATTACAATAGATGTCTAAGGTTACTTGGTTCCACCTTTGAAGGAAGAGAGGAGATGTTACTTGGGCTGAGAATCTAGGGCCCAAATTAGAGAAATTTCACTTTTTAATTCATTTTCTTTCTTTAGATTGAATTCAATACAGTAAACTTAAAAGGACCTTCATGAAACACAATATTGAGCAGGGTTTCCATGGAAATAGTTAATAATGTCATCATCTACTAAAAGGCATTATCTCAAGTTTAGTAATCCTATTCCAAGCTTCAGTTGTGCCATGACCTCGGAGGGCTGACTGACTTAGGATGCATCACTTTGTCTGACTATAAAGCAAATATGAAAATAGCAATTTAACTATTGTAGTAAAATGGTTTAACAGCCTAGGAGGAAAGCTGGGTTGTGTGTGAAATGCAATATTATCTCCCATATGGAGGAACGGGTAATTCAGGGTCAGATTTCATCAGCAGGGGTATAAACAAAATGCCTGAGGCTAGTAGCTGCTAGGTTTTAGAGGTGGGGAGGCTAAGAAAGAGCAGAGATATATGGTGAAAGTTCTATTGCTTGCTTACCCTTTCCACTCTACATCCTGTGCTAATCCCCTATCATCACAAGCTTTCCTTAGCAATACAGTTATCCCTTCACAGAAGTTAGGGGCACAGTGCCCCCACGATCTGGAAAATCTGTGTAAAATTTGTTGACCCTCCCTTTATACCAGAGAAGGAGTCTCAATTTTTTTCTTTTACTTTCATGGGGTATTTACAGTACCTTATTGTAAAATTTGGGTTAAGTATTTGGTCATACGTTCTTTGTCATCTGCAAACCTTCACATATCATCTGTGGCTTTGGCAAAACTCTCCCAAAATTCCCATTTAATTTTTTATGCCAATCCTAGATATATTGACACCTCAATGGGGAAAGTCACAATGTAGGAGGGATAACTATATAATTTGTTGGACCATTTATTTTAAATAAACCTACTACAGCATGGTACTTCTGCATTTCCACCAAAGCCCAAGTCAGGACTAAGTGCCCTATGACCAGAAGATTGAGGAAACATAATTTTAAAAGAATCAGGATCAAGATCATGGTCTAGGTCAACTAAAGGGTATTTAGGGGCATTAATCAAGAAGAGATCAGATAAAGAGAGGAGTTGATGTTTGCCCTTCACCTGACACTTTGAGGAAAATTCTATGATTCTGTGAAGAGAAGATGGACAAGTAGATCAGGAAATGAATGGAAAAACAGGGTGAAGTATGTTTTTAATAGTATTTTTAATTAAATATAAAGACAATTTTTAATATAAATTTCAAAAAAAAAATTTGAGTTCCAAATTTTCTCCCTTCCCTTTCTCCTCTTGCCCTCTCCCCTTAAGATGGCAAGCAATTTTATATAGGTTATATATGTGCAATCATGTAAAACATATTTCCATATCAGTCATGCTGTGAAAAAAGAAACAGAAAGGGTGAAGTTCTAAAAAGAAAATGACTGATCAAAGGATAGCCTTGTTATTGTTGTTTTTTAAATGTGCCAAAAGTCTTTTTAAGCCATTAAAAAAGGCCATTTCATTTTAAAGTTCCTCGTTTCAAAGGCCCAGGTTCTCTTTGAGTGTCAATTTGAAACCTGGTAGGGAAAACAATGTACTCAGCCTACTCCCAGGATGTAGTCCAACCTGAGTAATACAAGCAAAGGGGTGAAATGTCATGACAAATCTTACTAGACAATAGAGAAACTGGCACTTGTCTGGAATAAATGGATGGGGCCCTAGGAGGTCTGAAAATAAAGGAGGTTTGCTTGCATGAAGTAAAGGTCTCTTCCACGTAGCTGCCTTTGCCTTCAGTACACCCCAGATTCCCCTGGACTGGCCAAAGGAATGTGATTACTCTTGCTACTAAGAATTTGAGCTTCTGATCTCTGAGTCTCCCTTCCTTCCCATGCCCGCATCTACTCTTCATCTAAACTTCACTGCCAACGTAAGAGGGAGCATGGCACAATAGAGAGAGTACTTATCTAGGTGGAACAATGGATGGGGGGTCGGATGTAGAGTCTGGAAAACCTGGGTTCAAATGCCCTCCTAGACATTTACTGTGTGACCCTAAGTGAGTCATTTAATCTGTCTTCATTCCTCCATCTATAAAATGGAAATAATTATAGCCCCTGACTCCAAGGGTTGGTGCAAGGGTCAAATGATGTAATTGGCTTAAAGAACCCTACAGACCTTAGAGTGCTATATAAATGCTTCTTGTTGTTGTCTGGAAACTCCAGCTCTGCCAATCACTGCCTGCATGACCTGGGAGAGCCATAATGACATAGTGTGAACGGAGAGCTGGCCTTGTGGACAGAAGACCTGGATTTGAGGCCTGCCTGTGACCAATATTGGCTGTATGATCCTGGACAGCTCATTTAACCTCTCAGTGCTCTAGGCTATGCTAAGATGATAAGTTACAGAGAAGGTATCAACCTAAATTGGAAGAGGGAGTTTCCCCATCTGGAAGTTCCCATTATCAATGAATTCACAGGTCCTATCTCTTTCCCTATGACCTTGGACCAGTCATTTCTCTCTGGAACTCAGTGTCTTCATCCCTAAGATTAAGGGGTTGGCCTAAGTGACCTCTAACATCCCCTCCATCTCTAAATCTATGATATTATAAAGTCAAGCAAAAAAGCCAGATCTAGTCAGCCAAACCTGCTATCTTTTTTTGTTGTTTGTTTATTTATTTTTTAGGCAATTGGGGTTACGTGACTTGCCCAGGGTCACACAGCTAATAAGTGTCAAGTGTTTGGTCTGAGGCCAGATTTGAACTCAAGTCCTCCTGACTTCAGAGCCGGTGCTGTATCTACTGTACCACCTAGCATCCCCCTCTAAACCTGCTATCTTTACTTGGGTTCCTACAGTGGACCTGAGAATCTCAGGAGGCCAAGCAACATGTAAAAACTTTGGGTCGAAAATGTTCCCAGTGAATTATCAAAGTTATCTCTTTCCATTTTTCTTCTTTTTCATTTTTCTTTTTTCTTTAGCTCCCAGTCCTGTAAAAAATATACATGTTTCTCCTAATGGGATGACAGACAGCCTGAAAGTAAACTGGACACCTGGTGGAGGAGACGTGGATTCGTACACAGTGACAGCCTTTAGGCAGAACCATAAAATCGATTCACAGACCATCCCCAAGCGTATCAATGAACACACATTTCACAAATTAGAAGCAGGGGAAGTGTACCAGATTGTGGTGGAATCTATCAGTGGCTCCTTGAGTAACCAGGTGGAAACCCTGGGTCGAACAGGTAAGCGTCAAAATGGACAGAGGATCTAAAATAATATTACCAGATCACTTATGGTGGGAAACTGGTCCACAAAGCATTCTTTAACAATCCCAAAGTTTAATAAAATCACAAAACATCTAAATGTACAGAAGGTAAATTATGCAATTTAAAAATGGATTTAAAATTTATTACAATGACAAGAATAATTCCCTCTTATACCTATCCCTTTGTGTTTTTCCTTATTGTTGGAAATTGTATAGAAGAGATGGAAATTTAATTGTAAGAATCATGTGGTTCAATGAAAATATGAATGGATTATTAGTGCCCAGATGAATTCTGATTATATTTTTACCTGTCAAAGATGACAGAAATTGAGGCTCTGATAATAATTCATGTTGTAAACTGCAGGTGTTTTTAAATATTCTTCATAGTTGAAGAATAATTTTCACGGAGGTAAAAGTTTGTATCTGTTACACACACATATCACAGTTAAAGATAAATTAGCTAACAGCCACAATAAAGAAAGAGCAAGTATCCAAATCTAGGAATTATATATCTATTTCATATCATAGTATAGCATGTTATGTTATACTATACTATATTATGTTATATATCATATTACTTATTAATTATACTTCATATTTCTATTTTCAAGTTTATCAATTTGAACTAAATGGTTTCTGAGATTCATTTCAACTCTAATATTCAATGATTAGCTGATCCACTTCTTGTTACTAATTCGTTCAAACAGATTTATGCCTTGATTAGCACCCTGCTTAAATAGAAATGTGTTTGCATTTCACAAGTTTTGCCTTTCACACCTCGATATGTCTTGAAATTCTAAGAGCTCACTTGTACAACTTACCTTGAGAACAGAAGTGTAACAAGAAGCACAATTCATTCATTCCTTCAATAAACCTTAAATACTAACTTACTCATTATTCATAGCTAGCGTTAAACTTTAGTTAGAACCTAGAGATTGGATAGAATTCTAGTCTCAAAAACCTTCAGGCCCCAGGTTTTTCACCAGTTCTCCAATATTTATCAGCACCATTCTCTCTTTCTTCTCCTCAGTAGTCTAAGTCTGTGTCTAGACACAGAGTGAAATAGAGAACTGAAGCAGTTATCCAAGTAATTTAGGCCCAGAACCACTTTCTCTAAAGCCCTTCTCATATGTAGATACTTCACAGGATTGTTTATGGGGGAAATGTTTTATAATTTTAAAGTACCATGTGAGCAGATGGTTATTGTCTTTGGTTTTTTTGTTCATCTAGATCAGAGGTTTCCAAACTTATTTGGTCTACCACCCCCTTTTCAAAAAAAAAATATTGCTCAGCACCCCCTGGGAAATCTTTAACCCTTAATTTTTTTTAAAAATGTGTGTCATCTTAAAAAAAATGAAACATTTTAAAATGACACACATTAAATTTAATAATTTATTATAAATTTGTAGGTTTTTTACTGCATTGAAATTTTGATGGCACAATACTGTGTGATATAACCATATAGTATTGTACTGTAAACAAGTCATCACACACACATGTTCCTGCCGATGCATGATGGGCTTCCCACCAATGCATGATACCCTTGCCTGCCAACACTCGCTTGTTAAGACATGTTCGGGTACTTAACCACTGATTGGTTATTACTTGCATTTTGTGTGTTTATTTGGAAACTTATGTAATCGCCATGACTTTAACTGTTGTGTAACAACATGACAGATGAAATATGTACAAATGATTTTTCAAATTTTTCTTCTCTTCTTTCCTTATGCTTCCACTGCCCCCTTGTTTTTATTCAATGCCCCCCAATTGCACCCAAGGTTACTACTGCCCCCCTGGATTGTTCCAGTCCTTCCCAAGGAGTGGTATTGCCCACTTTGGGCACCTCTGATAGTCAAATTTTTTTTTCAATTAATCATTATGCCCTAGAAGATCTAACCTGATCTGATTTCCCTTCCCTTTTGTTGCTGATATTTGCAGTGCCTGCATCTGTCCAGGGATTATATGCCGATAATGCATACAGTAGTCACTCACTGATAGTGAATTGGCAAGGAGCAGCTGGTATGGCGGAAAGATATGATATCCTACTTCTAAATGAAGAAGGGACGCTTCTGAGCAACAAATCGGAGCTGGCTTCAGTAAAGCAACACAAATTTGAAGATTTAATCCCAGGAAAGAAGTACAAGATACAAATACTCACTGTCAGTGGAGGTCTCTTCAGTGTTAGGGCTGAAACTGAAGGTCGGACAGGTAATTAAAATGGGGCAGCTATGTGGCACAATGGATAGAGTTCTGGGCCTGGAGTCAGGAAGACTCATCTTCCTGAGTTCAAATCTGGCCTCAGACACTTACTAGCTGTATGACCCTGGGCAAGTCACTTCATCCTGTTTGCCTCAGTTTCACCTTCTGTAAAATAAGCTGGAGAAGGAAATGGCAAACCGCTGCAATATCTTTGCCAAGAAAACCCTAAATAGGGTCACGAAGATTCAGACACCACTGAATAACAACAATCTTTTTTTTCATCCTAGCCTGAGAATCAGGAAAACCAGAGTTCAAGTCTCTCACTGACACATTTCTAAAATTAAAATTGTTCATGGGAGGCGGTATTGAGTAGTGACTAGAGAGTAGGTCTTCATGCCAGGAAGATCTGGATTCAAGTCTAGCCTCTGAAACCTACTGGCTGTAGGACCCTAAGGAAGTTATTTAACCTCTCAAAGCTGTAGACCACTCTCCAGGACTATAAGTTGCAGAAAATGTGTTTGTGGAGCAAGATTCCTTTTCCAGGGCTTCCTTTTCTCATTGAAAAGTCAGAGGCCCAGTGTCCATTCCCTCTTAAAAAGCTTGGTTGCAGTGGGCTGATATTTTGGTCCCTGGCAACTCTTAAAGACCACCCAAGAAGGTGTAAAGGTGTAACATGGGAAAGTCAGGAATGAGTGTCTGAAACAACCTCGTAATTTAGGATGCATATGTAATTAAAGAGCTTTAGGAGACACGAATGTGCAGAATATCTTCTCATGCTTTAACAGTGAAGGGAAGGCCCACACCTACAAGGCCATTGTGTGGATATTTAATGATTGGCATTCAGTTGTGATTGATATTAGGGTTAGGGTTAGATCTTCCTGGCTTCAAAACCCACTGTCTCTTCACTATCACCACCCTGCCTCCCAATGGGTATTTATGACTTTGGTATTCTAACAATCTTTCCAATTCATGATCCCAGTCCCAGCAGCTGTAACCAATCTGAGGATCACGGAGAATTCCACCAGCCACCTAGCGTTCACCTGGACCACCTCTGAAGGAGAGCTCAACTGGTACAACATCTTCCTGTACAACCCAGACAAGACGCTTCAGGAGCGAGCCAAGGTGGAGCCTGGAGTTCAGTCCTGTGCTTTTCAGAACCTGATGCAAGGCAGAATGTACAAAATGGTGATTGTGACACATAGTGGGGAGCTTTCAAATGAGTCATTTATATTTGGTAGAACAGGTAAGGACCCCCTTTCTCCCCCCCCCTACCAAAGCAGCAACATACAATAAGCAAAGTGTTGATGAACTTACCATTTCTTCACTGGCATGTGCTTCAGTCCTCAGAGAATATCTGGTAGATGACATCATAGTACATATAACTATATATATATATATATATACTATATATATATATATATATATACATATATATATATATCATATATATATATACACACACACACACACACACAATAATATATATATATGTATATGTGTGTGTGTGTGTGATGGCGCGTTTGATTGTGTGTATATATATTTAAAGAAAAAGATAAATAACTCTTTTCCCCAACCCTGAATATAGATATACTATGGCCTTTGGGGATTTAGGTGGGCAGAACTGTGATTTTATTGGCAGAAGGATTCCCAGTGAAAAAACTCCTTCTACCAATGCACATTTATAACTGGTCTGCCCTTGTTTTCACACCCATCACGTGTCTATTATTGTTGTTGTTCAGTTGTTTTTCAGTCATGTCTGACTCTTTATCAAAGTCCTTTGAGTTTTTCTTGGCTAAGATACTGGAGTGGTTTTGCCATGTTCTTCTGCAGCTCATTTTACAGATGAGGAAACTGAGGCCAACAGGGAGGAGTGACTCACCCAGAGTCACACAGCTAGTAAATGTCTGAGGCCAGATTTGAACTCAGGAAGATGAGTCTTCCTGACTCCAGGCCCAGAGCTCTATCTGCTGTGCTATCTAGTTGCTCCAATAGGTGTCAGAGACTAGACTGAAACTCAGGTCTTCCTGGCTCTGAGGCCAGATCTCTATCAGCTATCCTATGGTGTGGTAGCCTTAGTTCATATATTCTCTGTCTCTCTGTCTGTCTCTCTTTCTCCATATACATATAAACACACATACATACACATATGCCTGTATGTATATATGCATGCAGACATATATGCATAAAACCAAACATATATACACATAGATATAGATATATGTTGATATATATCTACATCTATCTATATGTATGTGTTCGTGTGTATATATATATATTGTGTACATATATAGTACACATATAACATGTATGCATGTATATACAGACATATGCACACATGTATGTGTGTGCACACATACATACACATTATATATAACATATATGTACACATATTATGTGTGTGTGTGTGTGTGTGTGTGTGTGTGTGTGTGTGTGTGTGTGTATATATATATCTCCTCCTTTTTTTGTCACTCTCCCAGTCTTTCTGACTCTAGCTGGTTGCCACTCCAGTATTTTAGTTTAAAATGAATCAACCTTTACTGATATTCTCAGGCACTCTCTGATTCATTGTTACCAGGCCTCTCCCCTCCCCTCCTCTTCCCATGTATCTTCGTTCCTGTTTTCCATCAGCACAATAGGTGGAGAGGAGGGAAGCCAAGGGAAGAGAGGACACAACATGGGAAGGCCAGAGATGAGTGTCTGAAACAGCCTTGTGACTGAGGACACTTACATAATTGAAGAGCTTTAGGAGACACAGATGTGCCGGACATATTCTCATGTTTTATTGGAGGATCTGTCTATCCTGTGATTACTAACTAATAAAGACTGACTCCACTCATACACTCCAACTGGGGGTACATACTGACTCATTTTTCCCCTGCTACTTCTATCCCCCCTCTATTTGGGGGTGTGAAAGTGGGAGATGGGCCTTATCTTAGGAGCAGCTAGGTAGCACAGTGGATAGACTGAAGTCCGGAAGCCCTGCGTTTGAATCCAACCTCAGACACTTATTAGCTATATGACCCTGGGTAAGTCCCAACCTCTCTTTGCCTCAGTTTCCTCAACTGTAAAATGAGGATAATAACAGCCTCTACCTCACAGGGTTGTTGTGAGAGCCAAATAGAATAACTATGTGTAAAGCACAGTGCCTACAGCACAGTAAGGACTAGAAAGAAGCTTATTTCCTCATCCTTCAGTTAGGTAGGTAATAGTTTGTATGTTGTGATTTCAGATGCTTGTAAAAGGGTCCAAAAGAAAAGTTCCCCCTAAGAAAATTTCTTTTCTAAATTTGAAAAGGATGTGGAGGTGGGTAGGAAATCATTATGTTCCATTGCTGAAAGATAAATGGTGGGGCTATTTTTAATTTTTAATTTCACTCAGTTGATATATGGTTTTTATTTCACTGAATTAACCAGATGTTTTGCTCAAAGAGAGAGAAAGCCTTTCATTTCTGCAACTGGTGATAACTATGAAGGGTAAATGCCCCTGAGAAAGGTGACAAATTCACACTAGAGTATAAATGGCTGATAATAAGCCCTGTCCTGACTGTTGAGCTAATAACAGGTTTTGATAAGGGACAGAGTAAAGAAGGGAGCTCAGTGATCCCTGAGTGTCTGCAGAGTAGCTAAAATAGAAGCAGAGGAACTCAGAAAGGGAAGACTGAAGAAATAAAGACAAACTTCACTTGCTGCATACTTTTCTCTTGGGTAGACCCTGTCTGAAAATTCAGCTTGATTTGGATTAAACAGTTAAGATGCAGAGTAAAGTCAGTGTGTATGTAGTATGTTTAGAGGTTATGTTTCTTCTCTCAATACACCCATATGTACCTAAATTCTGACTTGAGGAGGAAAGATCAAAACATCTGCCACTCAAGCTAAACTTGAAGCATGTGGTCCCAGAAGCCTTTGTTGAGCACTGTTGTACACTCAGGAGTGATTTTCCCTTTTTGCTTCAGTCCCAGCCCCAGTGAACAATCTCAAAGGATCCAATCAGAACATGACAGACAGCCTCTGGTTCACCTGGAGCCCTGCCCCTGGGGATCTAGATTCTTATGAACTGATTCTTTACAACCCCAATGGCACACAGAAGGAAAACTGGAAAGCAAAAGACCTCACAGAGAAGCATTTCCATAGCCTTGTTCCTGGGAGAAAGTATACTCTAAGTGTGGTGACTCATAGCGGTGACCTCACCAATACCATCACTGCTGAGAGCAGAACAGGTAAGATGTTCAGCCGCCATGATCCAGGTGTCCAGCTGTCCAAAATGGAACCACCATATGAGACATTTGGAAGTTCTTTGGAGATAGGATTGTGATCATATGAATACTTATGGGGATAAGGACTGAACCTGTGATTTCACTGGCATAGGGAGCCCACAGATCAAAAAAATCTCTCTCTCCCGATACAGACTGGCACCTTTTCTTCTGATCTTAAAGAATTGTCTTAGGCACTGAGAATTTAAGTGATTTACCAAGAGTCACAGAGGTATATATCAGAGTCTCAACTTGAATTCAGGTCTTCTGGATACTGAAGCTATCTACACACTACTCCCCACAGACTCTCATTAAATTTTGATTTAAAACTTGACAAACAAGAAAATCATGGGTGCACTACTCAGAATCAACCCAGTTTACATTTTGATAATACCAGTCCTGCACAGTCTCACACCAGCTTACCTTTCTAGACTTATTTCTCATTACTTCCTATAATCACACACCATATTCCGGAAGAATCGGCCACTTCCCTGAACTTGGGGATTACGTCTCCCATCTTTGTGCAGGCTATATTCCATGATGTAAATAGCAATTATTTTTGGTTTGGCCAGAAACTCTGAGGGTCTTCCCCTCCCATATTGATTGTTTTTTCTTTTTTGAAGAGGCCATTCTCTGCTTCATTTCTTATTAAACCTTAATCACTGAATGAGTGTTGCTTCAGTCAAAATGAGACCTATAAAGACCTTAGCTTGAAAAGGCCAAGGTCTCCACTGAATCCTGGGCATCTCTAGTCGTCCTGATTCATATCTGGCCGCTGGACCCAGATGGCTCCAGAGGAGAAAGTAAGGCTGATGACTTTGCTCAGTCCTCCCTCACTTAAATCAGTTCACTTGCATGTCATGGCATCAACCTCCTTGATGTCATGGTTTTCTTCAAGAATGAAGGACAAATGGGGGCAGCTAGGTGGCACAGTGGATAGAGCACTAGCTCTGAAGTCAGGATGACCTGAGTTCAAATCCGGCCTCAGACCAGACACTTGACACTTAATAGCTGTGTGACCCTGGGTAAGTCACTTAAACTCAATTGCCTAAAAAAATTAACAAAAAGAATGAAGGACAAACAACCCCATGCCTAGAATAATCTGCTTCTTCCTCACCTCCACCTCTTGGAATCTTTAGTTTTCTTTAAGGTTCAGCTCAGGTGCCACCTCCTACAGGAAGCCTTTCCTGCTTCCCTCTATTAGCTAGTATTTTTTTTCCTCCTCAAATTATGTTGTACTTACTCTCCTGTGTTAAGTGCAGAATGTAAGCCACTAGAGGGTATGGTTCAATTTCTAGTCCCATAGCACTTTTCAATAGTGGAGTCAAGCCAATAACCATTTATTAAGTACCTACTATGTGCCAGGCACTATGTTAAGTGCTGGTGATACAAACAAAGGAATGATACAATCCGTATCCTTGAGGAGCTCACAATCTAATGGACGAGACAATGCATAAAAGAAGCTAAATATTAATATTAATCAATATTAATAACTCCTTGTCAGAATGGGACTATAAATATGAGGTGTAATAGGAGACGTATAAGAAAAGTCATATTTTGTGACATTTAGACCCAACATGTAACTTATAAAACCCACGAAATTCTTCACTTTCTTTTCTATTCAGCACCAAGGCCTCCCAGTACTTTGTCCTTTGCTGATGTGGCAAACACCTCCCTGGCCATCACATGGCTGGGTCCACCAGATTGGACAGACTATGATGACTTTGAGCTGCAATGGTTTCCAAGAGACCAACTCACCATCTTCAACCCCTACAGTAACAGAAAATCAAAGGGGCGCATTGTGTACGGTCTTCATCCAGGGCGGTTCTATCAGTTCAATGTCAGGACTGTCAGTGGCGAATCATGGAAAACCTACAGCCAACCCATTTCTGGAACAGTGAGGACAAGTACGTCATTTGGGGGACCAGAGGTTCTCAGGAGGTGGGAGTAGGAGGTAGAGGGGCCATTTGATCAATTCAGTGGTGCTTACTCTAAATCTCATGTTTGGCTTATGGAGGATTGGCTTTGAATTCATGTGGAAAACAATATGAGTTACCTGTCTCTTTTTATATCTGCCATGATACTAAAAATAATCCACTCTGTGATCAGAATCCTTGAAAGACTGATATGGGCTTTGCAAAACATTGGCATCTGCTTTCTTTAAGAGAAATTTTTCTTAAATGCTTCCTTCCTTTCTTTCCTTTCTTTCCATCTTTTTTCCTTTCTTCTTCTTCCTTCCTTCCTTCCCTTCTTTCCAACAAAATGCCTTGTCTTTCTTATCTTTGTTTCTTAGAATGGTGGTTAATTTCATAAAGTGTAATGGATTCATGAGACATATTCAACATCATGACCCAGTAGATAGGAGGCCACTCAATGCAAGGAAAAGAAGATTCTGAGTGAGAAGACCTTAGTTCAAATTCCAGCACTATAATTTACTATCTGTGTGACCCAGGGCAAGTTGCTTAATCTCTCTGGGTCTTGGTTTCCTCAAGTATAAAATGAAGAAGCTGGCAGCAGTGATCGCTAAGGTCCTTTTCAGCTCTAAATATGATGTTTCACTTAGTAGGGAGAGGGAGAGGAGGCGGGGGACAGAGAGAGAGAGAGAGAGAGAGAGAGAGAGAGAGAGAGAGAGAGAGAGAGAGAGAGAGAGAGAGAGAGAGAGAGAGAGAGAGAATGAATCAGGGCAGCCCCTAGAGAAAGTAAGTAGTCACCTATATAATGTGTCTTCTGGGACACTAAAAACTCACCTAACCACGGTGCCTGAAAGTTCAACCACTAGTTTTGTTACTTATGTCCTTTTTAACATCACCCATTCATTCATGTCAACGGGGAAAATGAAAGCCCTTTTATTTACCTCCTATTCTCTGCCCTTGAGGTCAATGACTGTGTCTTAAACCTCTACTGTATCCTCAGAGTATACTGCATGCTAGGTATTGATTGTCTGGTTAGCTGAGAAAGGTAAGAATGGGATCCGGGAATTGTTAGGGGCATTGAGCATGTTTTCATAGAAACAAAGCTTCTACTCTTTTTACTTAGATATTTTCAAGACCTCTGATCGATGAAGTATTGTAAAGCAATTTGTAAAGTCAGTTAATAGTGAGTGAACTAGTAACTGAAAGGTCTTTGTGTCTGATAGAGAATGACCTTTAATGCTGGCTAGGGCTGAACAGTATGGGCAAAAGACAGGGGGAAGAGGCTAAAAGCCAGTATTTTCCAACAGTGGTTTCAAATTCAAATAGAAATGGTGCTTAACTGTACATAAGGATTTCTGCAGGCTGGGCCTCATATTGACTTAGAAACCTATGTATTGTTATTTACATTTTGCTATATTTATTTTTATTCTTTCTGTTAAATACTTCCCAATTACATTTTAATCTGGTTTGGGTGGCACTTGGGAGTATTGGGGACTGCACACTGCCCCAGACCCAGCGTTGTTTTAATCAATCACCTGGATACTGGAACAAAGAACTAATTCTCTTTGCAAGTGATATCGTTTGCAGGGGATGCTAATCTAGGGGAAACGTTTTACTCCTCTGAGATTGTTATGAAAGATGCAGGATGACTAGACATGTACAGTGATGGGGGCAGAGGAGAAGGAAGGATTATAACATCATAGGTCTAGGGTTAGAAGGGACCAAAAAGGCTACTGAACCCAACCTCCTCATTTCACATATGTGGAAACTGAGGAACAAAGAGGTTAAGTGACTTATCCAGGGTAACACTGACAGAAAGTTCCCAAGGCAGGATTTAAACTCAGATGTTTCTAACTCCAGGTTTAAAGCTTTATCTACTGCTCTACCCTAACTGGGTCTAGGGGTTCACGTTTGGGAATAGAGTTCAATTTTGTAGTCGCCTACATTGCCAGTGGGGCGACTACGTGGCTTGGATAGAGGGTCAGGCATGGAGTCAGGAAGACTCATGTTTTTTAGTTCAAATTCAGCCTCAGACACTTTAGCTGTGTAACTCTGGGCAAGTCACCTAACCCTGTTTGCCCCAGTTTCTTCATCTATAAAAATGAGTTATAGAAGGAAATGGCAAACCACTCCAGTATCTTTGCCAAGAAAACCCCAAATGGGGTCACGAAGAGTTGGACAGGACTGAACAACAACAGTATTGTCAGTGGTGTTCATCCAATGCCCCCACAGCTTGATTATTCAATTCGACAAGCCAGGAACTGTGCACCAATAAGGAAATACAAAACGTCATTCCCATAGATTCTAAAAATTGGGTGGGGGGGGGGTCAGGAAGATCTACTGCTTGAAGATGGTTGTATTTGAACAGAATGAGTGGAGCCCAGGATTTCAAGAGACAAAAGTAAAGAGATGGGAGATAGGATGTCATGTATAGAGAATGAATAAGCCAGTTTGCCTGGAACAGAGGGTATATGAGAGCAATTCACTTGAAACTAGTGAACCAGATCATGAAGGGCTTTAAATGTCGATAAAGAAGAGTTTGTATTTTATCCTTGAGTCAAATCAGCAAGTATTTTTTTTTATTAAATTCCTGTTATGTACCAGGCAGCATGGAAACCACCAATGCATCTTTAGCAGGGGCATTGATGTGGTCATACCTGACTTTAGGATTAAAAGCATCCTCTTTCTCTTCTTAGAGTTTAACATACAAACATATTCATATTCACGGGCCCATCCAAAATGAACACAAGCAGTCTTATACACATAGGAGCAGCAGACCACAGATTCTGAGCTGGAAGGAACCCTCAGAACCCACCAGATTTAGCCCCCTCCTTCTCTAGATGAAGAAACTGAGGCATGGATAGGCTAAGTGACTTTTCCTGGGTCACACAGCTAATAAATACTTGAGGCGGGATTTGAATCCCTGACTCCAAGTTCAGTACCCTGTCAGTTCAATATACCAGGTTACATCTCACATGCTACTAGAAATACCTCATACCTATACCCCATAGTCCCACATATGGCAGTCCTCATAATCATGGCAGCAGCAGTGATGTAGAATCCCCATGAGCTGGTCCTCACAGCTGTTCAATTTGGGAAACAGAGACAGGTCTAGTCTTAGCCACCTGGAGCTCTGTTAGAACCGAGGCCCAGGTAAGATGCCAAGAAATGGTGTCAGACTAGCTTTGCTCCTCTCTCTCATGGACCCTAATATAAATAAAAGGCTTATCATCCCATCTTTTGGGTGAAGGGGCTGGAAATCAACCATGATTTCTTCCCCCCAAAAAAAACCATACATATTTAGTCATTACTGATATCTGTAGACCAGACTTTTTCAACATCTACCCATAATGGTTAACAAGCTGTCACAAAGTCAGCAGGATGGCCCTGTGTTTACCTCCATCTTTGTAACACAGGTCACAAAACCCAAGGGCAGAAAAGAGTGGTGGCTGGGGGGAAGGACAGCATCAAATTAGCTGCTTGGTTAAATGCTTGGACTTACAGAGAGGATTGCTTTCTAATATCAGTCTTATGATACACACACACACAAGTGTGTGTGTACACATACATACATATATCTATGTGTATATCTATCTATCCATAGAATAGATAGAAAGATAGATAGATAGATAGATAGACAGACAGACAGACAGATACACAGACAGACAGACAGACAGACAGACAGACAGACAGATAGATAGATAGACAGATAGATAGATAGATGGATAGATGGATAGATGGATAGATGGATAGATGGATAGATGGATAGATGGATAGATGGATAGATGGATAGAAAGATAGATTTCCTTTTACAATACATTAGCTGCGAGGTAAAAAGTGTGTACTACGAATGTGATTTATTTTTAAGTAATATCCTAGATCAGCAGTTCTCAATTTTTTTTGGCCTCAGTACTCCTTGACACAATCAAAAATGATTGAGGACCCCAAAGAGCCTTTGTTTGCATGGGTTATATGTAGTTATATTTTCTGTATTAGAAACTAAAATGTCTTAGTATTATTATGAAAATAGTTTTGACGTCAGGAAACCCCTGAAAGGTCTCAGGTACCTCCGGGCATCTCCACACCACACTTTGAAAACCACTGACCAAACAATGGTTCTTAACCAACAGTCTATGGATCTTTAAAAGTAGTTTCATGATTGTATTTCAAGTCAACAAACATTTATCATGTGCCTGGCCCAGGGCTAAGTGCTAAGGATACAAAGAAAGGCAAAAAAAAACAGTCCCTGCTCTCAAGAAGCTCACAGTCTAATGGAGAAGAAAATAAATGAAGAGCTGGATATAAACAAGCTAGAAAGAGGGGAAAGTGGAGATAATCTCAGAGGGAAGGCATTAAGGTCAAGAAGAACCAGGAGGGGGCAGGTAGGTGGTGCAGTGGATAGAGCCCCGGCCCTGAAGTCAGAGGGACCTGAGTTCAAATCTGCCCTCAGACCAAACATTTGACACTTATTAGCTATGTGACCCTGGGCAAGTCACTTAACCCCAATTGCCTTAAAAAAAAAAAAGAAGAAGAAGAAGGACCAGGAGAGGGGGCAGTTAGGTGATGCAGCGGATAGCGCACCAGGAGGACCTGAGTTCAGATCAGACCTCAGACACTTACTAGTTGTGTGACCCTGGGAAAGTCACTTAACCCCATTGCCTTTAAAGAAAAAAAAAGGACCAGGAGGCTACATGTTATAGAAACTGAGACTTGAGGGAAGCCAGGAACTGAAGATGAGGAGGGAGAGAGTTCAGGGACAGCCAATGAAAATGGCTAGAAATGGAGCAATTTGTGCAGGAAGAGCAAGGAGGCTAGTGTCACTGGGTCAACGTATACTTGGTGGGAGCAAGGAAGGTAGAAAGTAAGGGGTTGATTCCTTTGCAATCCCATGTATTAATTTCATTTCATTTAATAATAGTATTCTGAGAAGGTCTCTGTAGTCTTCACTAAACTGACAAAGGGGTCCATGACATCAAAAAGGGTTGAGAACCCCTGGCCTAGAAAGTCTTTTGAGGTGTTGGGAAGGCAGCTATTACTTGGATGGCAAGGTCAGAGTTAGTTTTTGCCCAGATGAGCTAAAAGCAAATACTACCAGCAGGAACCACCCACTGCCAAGTTCTGAATCCATTCCATTCCTCCCCCCTCCAGGGCCAGACAAAATACAAAACCTGCATTGCCGTCCACAGAATTCCACAGCCATTGCCTGTTCCTGGATCCCTCCTGATTCGGACTTTGATGCGTACAGCATTGAATGCAGGAAAGTGGACACCGAGGAGGTGGAATTCTCCCGAAGGCTGGACAAAGACAAATCTGTGCTCAATATCATGACCCTAGTCCCTCATAAGCAGTACCGTGTGTCCATCAAAGTGCAGTCTGAGGGCATGACCAGCGAGGTGGTGGAAGAGACCACAATCACTATGATTGATCGTAAGTGCTCATTTCTACAGCACCACCCCTCCCCCAAAGTCAAAGATGAAAGCTTTGCCATTGCCCATTAGCTTTCGTATTGGTTGTTTATTGGCCTTCATTCTAGAAGAGGACCAAAATGGCATCACTATGTCAGGGTCAAGGTACAGTGTGTCTGACCATGGCTGATCAGTGGTGCACTGAAGAGGAAAAGGTGAAAGCAACAAGTATTTATTAAGCACCTACTATGTGCCAAGCACATGGTGACACAATAGAGTACTGGGCCTGGAGTCAGAAAGACTTGAGTTCAAATCTGGCCTCAGATACTTACTAGCTGTGTGATCCTGGGCAAGTCACTTCACCCTGTTTGCCTAAGTTTCTTCATCTGTAAAACAGAGCTGGAGAAGGAAATGGAAAACCACTCCAGTATTTTTGCCAAGAAAACCCCAAATGGGGTCAGGAAGTATCAGACACACTGAAATGACTGAACAATAACAACAGCCTCAAGAGCCCACCTTCTCATTATACCATTGAAGAAACTGGGGGTCTCAGAGGCTAAGTGACTTGTCTAAGGTCACACAAGTCTGTACTGTGTTGGACCTTCCCAATAATCAGATTTATTGCCCCTTTCGGAAGAATGAAGGGGGCAGAGCCAATATCCTAGAAAGGTTTCTCTCTATAGGGCATCCTTAGTGTGACCAAGGTAAACGATCTTAATAGAACTGTATGAGCTGGTGCTTTGTTCAAAATATCCCTTTTATGGATGTGATGGGAGCTATAGAGTATCATTCAATGAAGCAATTCCAAGAATCCTGCTGAGGAATTGCCTCTTTTGTTACCTTTAATGCACTATTGGAATGGCACTTCCCCTGCCCATTTTTCTACTAGTCAGGGTAGATGTTTGGTGATCGCAGACAACACAGGAATCAAAACAATTTGGGTTTGGTTGGATTGGCTGGGATGCTGATTTCAGAGGCTGCTGCGGGGAGTCCTCACACCCTCTTTATTCCTCATCCTCATCCAGGCCCTCCTCCACCACCTCCACATATTCGCGTGAATAAAAAGGATGTGTTAATTAGCAAGTCTTCCATCAACTTTACTTTCAACTGCAGCTGGTTCAGTGATACCAATGGGGCTGTGAAATATTTTACAGTAGTGGTGAGAGAGGCCGATGGTAAGTCTCAGGCATTAACAATACTGTAAGACACTGAAATGTTTTCCCAGGGAAACCATAGACTCTCCTCTGATAATTTTAAGTGAAAAAGGAGATAGTTTTATTTTTTTTAGGGACAGGGTACTTAGGTACAACTCTTTTAGGGACAGGGGGATGGACAAAAGGACCGCTTCAGGGTACTCCCAGCTACATGATTCTATCATTTTTCAAATTGAATACTGAGATGTCATTGCTCACAGATTTATCCAGTTCATTCAGAAATGAAACAAAATCCTATTTCCATGAAGGGTAGTGTAATAACAAAGCTATTTCCATATCACAATAGATCACTAGAAATTATGTGCTTTGTTGTGCTGATTAAAACAAATTCTTATGAATAATCCTAGACTAAAAGAAAGTTTCTATAATCCTTTGTTCATTTAAAATCCCTCTCAGTAATGGATGTGCATTGAATTCTTCCCCTCTCTTTGCTCAGCCATTAAGCAGCAATTTTCCTTCAAAGCTCTTTACTCACCCTTACTTCAAATATTATGTCAACCAACTCCCCAGAAAAAAAGTCAAAACTCCCAAACCACTGACTGCACAAAAAAAAAAAAAATCAAAAAGCTCTAAGAGGTAAGGGGGTAAGGAATTATTATAGAGTGTTCAGAATACTTCCTAATTTTCCATTTTGATCTCAGACCATTGCATCCTATTAGTCAGTCAACTAGCATTTACTAACAAACTACTGTGTCCCAGGCACTGTGCTAAAAGCCCTGGGAAGACAAAGAGAGAGAGAGAGAGAGAGAGAGAGAGAGAGAGAGAGAGAGAGAGAGAGAGAGAGAGAGAGAGAGAGAGAGAGAGAGAGAGAGAGAGAGAGGAGAGAGAGAGAGAGAGGAGAGAGAGAGGAGAGAGAGAGGAGAGAGAGAGGAGAGAGAGGAGAGAGGGAGAGAGGAGAGGGAGAGGAGAGGGAGAGGGAGAGGAGAGGAGAGAGGGAGAGGGAGAGGGAGAGGGAGAGGGAGAGAGAGAGAGGGAGAGGGAGAGGGGAGAGGGAGAGAGAGGAGAGGGAGAGGGAGAGAGAGAGAGAGAGAGAGAGAGAGAGAGAGAGAGAGAGAGAGAAGAGAGAGAGAGAGAGAGAAACTACCAGAGTATTACAGAGAATCTATTTAATCTCTAACTGGTTCCTAGGTACTCAATTTCTAGAAACATAGTACCTAGTCAAATACTTTAGAATATCCACATAAGTACTCCTTCCTTGGACATAGGTTGTAAACCCTCTGTTTGTTAGTAGATGATTTTTGTGAGTTGGTGTGGCTAAAAGAATAATGATGATAATAATAATAATAATAATAATATCACCTAATGAGCATGAATCATCTTCTAGGGATGAGTTCTCACTCTGGCTTAGAATTCCTTAGAGATTTAGCTGGAATCCTTTCTTCTACAGGAACCCCTACCTGCCTCCCTATCCCTCAATAGTAGTGTCCACCCCCTTTGAAATTACCTCCTTTTTACACTGTATTTATTTTGTATATATATGATTTTTTTATATATTGTCTCCACCATTAGAATGTGAGTTCCTTGAGGGTAGAGCCCCTGTTTTTATTTTTCCTTGTACTCTTATTGCTTAGGACATAGTCCTAAATAAATGCTTGTTGACTGACTGACTGACTGTCTGACTGGTCCTTGAAGGACAGAAACTATCCATTGTTAGTCCCAAAGCCTTTCCAAAGCCTACCAGAGCTTGCACTCCACTCTCATAGTCTTTGAGAACCCCTACAGCATAGTAAAATATCAGTCAGTAAGCATTTATTAAGCACCTACTATGTACCATCCTATAGTGTGTTAATCACTAGAACATGGGCTAAGCACCAGAACAGGATTTTAATGAAAAAGCAACATACCAATTAAAACAAAATTCCACTCCCAAAATAACAACAGTCATAGGCAACCTGGAGTTCCTTTGTATAAAATTAAGCAAACCATACATTTAAATATGTTCCTTTTTTTAGCTTTATCCAAGTCCATTCATGCAGTTGTCCCTGACTCCTGCTCTTTCTGCAACAGACATACTCACTTGTTTTTCAGTGGCGGAAAATTCTACCAAATATCCAGTTTTCCTACATCTCAAGGCTATTCTGTGGCTTTGGCCAATGTTGGGGAAGAAACCCAGCACCTCTGTAGAGAAGCATCTTGCTGCAATGGAAAGAACACTGGATCTGGTCAGAGGACAAGAGCCCAAACCCACTTCTGCTGCTTAATTCATGTTTAACCTTGGGCAAGTCATGTAACTTCTCTGGGCCTCAGTCTCTTCATCTGTAAAATGAAGAGTTTGAAGTAAATGGCCTCCGAGTTCCCTTCCAGTTTTAAATCTATGATCCTAGGATTCTGGAAGAAGTTTGGGGCTAAAGAAAATTTTTAGACTCATTAGGAACCAAACTCCTTAACGCAGAAGAATCTTTTATTGTTAAGCTAAATAATTGCAGATGGAGAATACACCCAGCAGAGATACTGTAATATTAGTCAGACCCTAATTCCTGAGCTCCTGACAAAACAGAAGCTTTAACAAAAAACAAAAAACCAACCACAGTCAGCACAGCCCTTCCAACACTGCCATCCTTAAGGACTGGATTTTAATTCCCACAGTCAACTCTGAGTTATCTGTGTCAATGGAGAAGAGCAGTGGTCCAAATAATCCAAAGCTTCAGACAAACTCAAAGCTATTTGTACAACCTAATATATGTTTGCATTCTGTGGGACAAATCCCATTTTAACTAACGTATAATAAAACTATTTTCCAAGCTCTCGTTAATAGCATATGTTTTGATGCAACAAAATTATGGAATTATCCACTAGAATCATTTGGATCTCCCACCTTCCCCCTATCAAATGTAAACAGTATCTGACCTACATAACGTATGTGTTTATTTATGTGTGTATATGCATCCATATATACGAAGATTTATCCTCCTAATTTTAATATCATAGAGAGGCAGTGTGGTGTAGCAAGTAGGTGGAAGCTGGCCTCAAAGCCAGGAAGACCTGGGTTCAGATTTCACACATAAAGACCTTGGCCAAATCATTTAAATGTATAAATTAGTACTCTAAGCAACTCTCTAAGACCATCAGTTGCACAGACTGAAATGGTAGAGGGAGTTAGCTAACCTGGAAGTTATTTATAGCAATGAAATCACAGGCCCCGTCCCTATCCATAAATACTATGTCATTTATTAATTATCTATTGCTTCAGCTAACATCAAAATAAGTTTGCATTGACAAAACACTCAGGGATAGGATTATTGAAGGGATTAGCTTGAGATCGGCATTGGATGATGGGGAGAAGTTGGACAAGAATTTAAAATGTCTGTAGTTCGCAGTTGAGAGTTGATCATGTAAAGACTTGTTAGGCTAGATGTTACTTGTATGGGGGTGGGGGTGGGAAGTAGATAGGTAGGAAGCTTTGGTGACAGATGTGATCCTTCCTAGTTCCTTCCCATAAAACATTTAATGTCTCCCTTGCCATATGGGTTTCCTTAATAGCTGGCAGGAGCCATTTAAATATACCAATAACTCTCAGCCTTTTAGAGCTGATGCCCCATCATCATTATTTTGAGTTCAATAATCTTCACTTATCTCACTTCTAGAACTGCAGTTGGCATTTATTTTATATTAATATTTCATATTTATATTATATATTTTATATTGGAAAAGTACTCACATGGATATTCCAACGTATTTAACTAGGTATTATGTTTCTAGAAATCGAATACCTATAAATATATATTTGTATTTATATACTTACATTTTTGTATTTATATTTGAAAATTGAATTAAAATAAACTTGATAGGAATTTCATAGAACTCTTGCTGATCCCTGGAGCTGATTATGCTCCAGGCAGAGCCCTAGGGTGGAGCAAGCAGAGCTTTGCTCCCGGGTGTGGAAATATAGAAGGTACTTCCTGAACTTGAGTTGGTAGAAACAATGGAGCTTACCAACTAGTTACTTACAAGAGGAAGCTGCTATTGATGTCTCACTTCCTCCACATAGCCGCACCCCAGGTGAGCTGGGGCCCAACCTAGTTCCATCTTCTTGAAAGCAACTTCCACAGCAGAGGCCATTTGGTGCCCTGGGACCTCAACTAACTGTCATACCCCAAAGGCCCACATATTCCAAGGCTTTAGTTCTCTCCCATTTCAAAAGCTTTATTGACACCTTTGCTGCTGCGTGCCCAGGATGTGAGAACCATTAGTTATGACTCTGCCAGTGGCGTTACTGGGGGGGGGGGGGGAGAGGTAGGAAGGTGAAGGTCAGGCCAATCAGGATTCGGAATTACTCACCTGTGCAAGAAACTATGCTTTCAGAGACTTCTCCAACCCATGTTCTGTTTTCTCAGTACAAAACCTGTGTGCATTTCCCAATTCCAGGCAGTGACGAATTGAAGCCAGAGCAACAGCACCCCCTGCCTTCCTACTTTGAATATCGCCACAATGCCTCCATCCGAGTCTATCAGACCAACTATTTTGCAAGCAAATGCGCAGAAAGTCCAGAGTTCAATTCAAAGAGTTTTAACATTAAACTTGGAGCAGAGATGGAAAGCCTGGGTGGTAAATGTGATTCAAATCGGCAAAAATTCTGTGACGGTCCCCTGAAGCCCCGCACTGCCTACAGGTGAGACGGACTGCTGTGATTTTGCTTAGGGAGACGTAGACACAGAGCATTCTTTTATTGGGTGCTGTGCTGAGTACCGAACGAGCCGCAGCTGCTGCAGATAAAGAATCTGCCCAAGGGCTCTCTGACTTTTATGGGGTGATATATAAAAGCCTGGCCCCGGCCTTATCTCTTAAATTCCTTCGGCATTCTTGGAATGGTGTAAGTCATTCCATGCAAAATCAAGGGCTCTGATTAGACACCTCCAAATCCAATTCGCTGTGGCACGGTGGCTGCAGGATTGGTTGGGAGTTTAGGAGACCTAGGTTCAAATCCTGGCTCTGACCTCTTATTACCTGTGTGACTTTGGGCAAAATATCAAGCCTCTCTGAACCTCAGTTTCATCACTTATAAAAATGGAAGGCATCTACTAGATGGTCTATAAATACTCTTTCTGGGCATCTCTGGGCCTGGAAGTCAGGAAGAGAGCTGAGTTCAAATCCATCCTAAAACACTTACCAGCCTTTTGATCTTGAGCAAGTCACTTCACCCTGTTTGCCTCAGTTTTCTCATCTGGAAAAATGAGCTGGAAAAGGAAATGGCAAACCACTCCATACCTTTGCCAAGAAATCACTTAACCTTGTTTACCTGTTTCCTCATTTGTAAAATGAGCTGGAGAAAGAAATGTCAAACCACTCCATTATCTTTGCTAAGAAAACCCCAAATGGGATCATGAAAAGTTAGGCATGACCAAACAACCAGAACAACAAAAGTTTCCTTCCAAGTCTAGAATCATGATCTTATGATCCTTCATATTTTAATGGAAAAATTCTTTCTGTTCCCTTCTGCTTCTGATTGCACCAAAAAAAAATGAGTTTGTGGATTTTTAAAAATGGAAATAAGCCTAATTTGATTTTCAATTTGAGTTCACTGATGAATACAAATGCATTTTATTTTACACTTAAAATCAAGGCAGGTTCAAAGTTAGATTTGTTTACTTCAGTAGCAGAGGGGTATGGTGCACTTGGAGTCAAAAGACCTGGTTTTGAGTCCTTCTATATTGCCTTAGGTCAAATCACTTAATTAATCTCTCTCAGCCTCAGTTAAATCAGTAAGCATTTAATAAGCACCTACTATGCGACACTATGCCGAGCACCAGGGATACAAAGAAAGTATATAGACAGTCCCTGACCTCAAGGAACTTACAATCTAATGGAAGGGTTCATAATCTAATGAGTTCCCTCAGATTTTAAAAAGAAAAAAATGGGGGCTGAGGAATAGAGGAGGGATGAAAATACTTGGATTGCTTACTCTCATGAGTAGTTGTGAGGAAATGGCTTTATAAAGCTTAAAGCACTATAGAAAAGTCAATGATTAGCAGTATTATTATTCCAAAGGCAGTCCCAGAAAGCCTGGAGTGCCTTCTGTTCCAGTTCAGTAACCATGAAGTAGCTCACAAATGCAATATGGACCCCTGATAACAGGGAAGCATCCAAGTTAAACTTAACCCTGCCACCCCAGGCTAAAATGTCTATCCAGTCTTCTTCGCATTGAGACCAGAGCTGTTTGGGCAGCCAGATGCTGTTTGCTTCCATCTCAGATGGAGCTGTCCTCATCCCAAATCTCATACAGAGAACAATAATGGTGTGGCACTTGGCTCCTTCCTCACAGCCGCTCTGGGAGTAAAAATGGATCATTGTCCCCATTTTACAGATGAGGAATTGGAAACGCAGAGAGGTTTATTGCCTACATCTACCCAGCTTAAGTAAGTTGCAGAACCAAAACTTAAGAGTTGGGAAAATCTTCCATAGGGGGGTTATCCAGGACACCAGGGAGCCATCCCCCAGATCTTTTAAACATTATTATTTTTTTTTTGTTTTAAAACTCACCATACTTCCCAATACAGACTTCCTTCTTCTCTTACCATTCCCTGTCTCCTATAACAGAGTTTAAAGGGGGAGGGGGGGGAAATTAAGCAAAACTAACAAATCAACGATGTCTGACATTATGTGTAGTCTTCAACACCAATGGATTCCCACCTCTGCAAACAAGGAAGGGTGGCAAATTCTCATATCCCTTATTTGAGGCCAAGTTTGGTCATTATAATTTTACAGCATTCAATTTCAATTGTTCTATGTTCTATTTACACTGTTGTCTTCACTGTGTATGTTGTTTCCTGGTTCCTCTACTTTGTATCAGTTCATTCAGGTCATCCCTTATTTCCCCATATTCATCCTATTCATTATTTCTTACAGTTCAATAATGTTCCATTATGTTCTTATACCATGATTGGTTTAAGCCATTCCCCATTCAATGGGGCCATCTACTTTGTTTCCAATTCTTTGCTACCATCAAAAAAATGTACTGCTATGAGTATTTTGGTGTGTAGGAAGCCTTTCTTTTTATCATTGGCATACTTGGAGTATACCGTTCAAAAAGGGAATCTCTCTGGCCTTTAGGTCTCTTAGCATTGTGGAGATGTGGGTGTAGTAATCTGTTATCCTCACTTTGTGACTGGGCCAACTCCTGTTCAGTCACATTTCTCTTTGATCTTCTACTCCCACTTCCTGAGCAATACATCTGTCCTTGTCCTTCGGGTGATATAAATTTTTATTCCTAAAGCGTCATAGTAACCCATGATTCATAGCAATAACATAGACAGAAAAACACCTATATTTTGTTTCATTTGTTTACTTATTTTTAATATGGTTTTACTGAAGGGTGAAGCTTCAAGTTTTTGAAAGTGCTACTGTCTCCCAGATGAAATCCAGCCTGTTCTTTCCCTTGTATTCAATTCCAACACCAAAACTGAATATATATATATATGTATATATAATAAAAAGTTATATATTTACATAAATACTTTATCCATTTTTATATGACAGCTTTCCTGTAACTGCTGAGTTTATATTGCATGCATATGGGCACACACACACACACACACACAACACACACACACACAAGCAGTTTTTAAAATGCTTGCCTAACAGCCCCTGTCCATTTGTTTCAAATATAAGAAGTATCCAGTTACTTCGTTCCTTGATGAAGCTGTGCCTTAGACCTTGGTCCTATCACATTCTATAAGATTCCCCCTATTTGAGGTTTAGGGAGGTTATAATAATATAGTTTATATTTCTGAAGCATTTTAAGATTTACAAATCACTTTTCCCAGAACAGACCTGTAGAGGTAAGTTAGTACATATGTTATTACCCCCATTGTACAGATGAAAAAACTGAGATTCAGAAAAGTTGAGGGACTTACCCTTAGTCACTTAACTAGTAAGGGCCAGAGCTGGGCCTTGAAGCCAGGTCTTCTGACTCTAACTTACTTCCGACCATACCATGCTGTATCTAAAAAGATGCTTAATAAATGTCTGTTGAATGAGGGAATGAATGGAAATAAAATAATTAAGGGTATAGCCTCCCTCCCCCATATTACCTTATAAGGTTATAATTCTGATTATTATTGGGATTTTTTAAATGGTTCCTTCTAAACACACACACACACACACACACACACACACACACACCCATCCTAATCAGTTAGCTAAATCAATATAGATTGTTGAGGGGAATGGATTACTTAATTGATTTCCAAATGACTTACATTAAATCTAGTGTTATTTCTTCAGGATGGAATAACCCTAAGACTATTTCTGGGGTTCTCTATCCGCAGACTTTAAATCAGATGATTTAAAGACTTTGTTGGTCATTTCAACCCACTTCCAATCTAATTCAAGAATTTCTATCCCACCGATAGAGCTCACAACCAGATTCTATGAGCACAGGTCCATGTAGATATTTTTTTCATTTGTATCAGCCTCAGTGCCTAGTACAGTGCCTTGCTGCTGTTGTTTTTTAGGAATTCAAATTAAATTAAATTAAATTAAATGTTAAAATAGAAATTTACCCTGTATATAGCTTGCTTCATATATATTTGTTTGAATGTTATCTTCCCTATTAGATCATAAGCTTCTTGAAAGGAGAGACTGTCATTTGCCTCTTTTTATATCCCTAGCACTTAGCAGAATGTCTGGCATATAGTAGGTCTTTAATAAACATTTATTAATTAATTGATGGCTACAGTAGGTACTTAATAAAAATATTGTTGAATTTATGAGGCAACCCATTCCATTATTGTTTGGTTCTTGGGTGGTTAAAAAAATGATTACTTAAGATGAGCCAAATTCTGCCGACTTGCAATTTCCGTTTGGATTGTTCTGTGTGGGACAACAGAGAACGTTTCTCCAAATCATCATACATTTGAAGATAGCCATCAGGACTCTCCTTCCTTCCTTAGCCAAGCTAAGAGGAAATAGTGGTACTGGAAAAGGCATTGCATAGAAAATCTGCCTCTGCCAGTTATAAGCAGTACGATTTCAACAAGTCACATTTTAATTTCCCCATTGACAGAAAGACCATGATAAATGATACAATCTCGCTCATAGGACTGTTTTTGAAATAATCGATAGGGTAGAAAGTGCTAGACCTGGGTGAGGAGATCTGGGCTTGAATCCCCCCAGAGATGAATTGTGTGATCATGGACAGGTCGTTTTAACTGCTCAGGGATTCCATTTCCTTATGTGAAAAATGAAGCTACTTATCCTCCCTCATAAGGTGGTTTTGAGTGAGGTACTTTGCAAATGTTAAAGGACTGTATCACTGGGCGTTAGTGTTACTTGTAAACCTTAAAGTGTTAGACAAAGTGAGCTTCCAACAGCCATATTTCCTTCAACCATTCCCCTCTGTCACATGGTTTCCAGATCCCTCACCATCCTGGGCCCAACCTCCTCTAAGTGCTTTCTAATTTGTAAATATTCTTCTTAAAATGAGGTTCCCAGAAATGAACACACTCTTCAGTTGTGGTCTAACCAGCCCAGAGTAAAGGGATTATGATTTCCTGTGGTCTGGTTACTGGGCTTCTTTTAATGCAGCTTATTTTTTTTTTTTTAGCTGCTGCATCCTATTTTTGGCTTCACTAAAACGACCAGATTTTTTCCCCTTTTTTGGTGTGTCTTTTTTTTTAATTGAACTGCTTCCAAGTCAGTTTTCTAGCCATATTCTTCCAACTGGCTGCTGAAATTTCCACTGAAATGTTCTTTTGTTACCTCTAACTCAACTCTCCCCTGGTCAGACTACATCTGTTCAGAGCTAGGGTGACACATTTTAGGAAGGACGTTGACTAGCTGGAAAGAGTCCAGGAGAGGGTGACAGGATGATGAAGGACCTTGAAACTGTATTAGCAGATCAGTTGAAAGAACTGGGGGTGGAAAAGAGAAGATACAGGGGAGGATATGATAACTACCTTAAGTCCTGGAAGGTGTATTATATGGAAGAGAGATTAGATTTATTTTGTTTGTCCCCAGGGGCCAACCATGGGAGCAATGACTGGAAGCTGGGGAGAGTCAAATTTAGGCTGATTGTAAGGAAATACTTCCTATTATTTAGAGGCATCCAGAGTGGAATGGGGCTGCTTCAGGAGGCATTGAATCCTCCCTCACATCTGGCAAAATCTAAATGATGACTTATTTTGCCCCTCCCATTAGACTATAAGCTTTTCAAAAGCAGGGACTATCTTTTGTCTTACTTTATATCCCCAACACTCACTCTTAATAGTAGGCACTTAATAAGTGTTTTTTGACTGACTGCCTTGTTGAGATGTCATATAGAGGGATTTTTTGTCAAGTATGGGTTGGGGTGCAGCGAGGTGGGGCAGTAGATAGAGTTCTGGCCTTGGAGTCAGGAGGACCTGAGTTCAAATCCGGTCTCAGACACTTGATACTTATTAGCTGTATGACCTGTGCAAGTCACTTAACCCCAATTGCCTCACCAAAAAGAAAAAAAAAAGGAGGAAAGAGGTATGAAAAGAAAAAAAATAGTTTAAAAAAAGTATGGATTGGACCAGGTGGCCTTTAAAGTCCTATACAACACTGAGATTCTGAGATTCTGTCTTAAACCAAATTCAAGATCTTTTCTCCTGACTCTACACATTCCAGTTTTTCTATTAATAGTACCATTATTGGTACTTATCAATTGTCAATTATTCATCCTTGACTCATACCTCCTTTTCCCCCAATGTCCAGTCAGTCACTAAGTCCTGCTGATTTGTCCTCTGTAATCTCTCTCACATCTCTCCCATCTTCTCCATTCCCACTGCTACTACCCTCCTCTTGACCCTTAGCACTTCCCATCTGGACTATTAGCATAATCATCTAAATGATCTCCCTACTTCCACTTCCTCTACCTCTAATCTACCTCTATATTAATCTTCCTAAATGCCAGTTTGCACAAAGCCTAAAAATCTCTAATATCTCTCCATTATCTTAAGGATAAAATGTGAACTCCTCAGCCCAAGGATCAGAGGCTATCCACAATCTATCATATATGTATTTCTCCATCCTCTCTCACTATTATAAACCCTCTGGCCCAGTCACACTGATCTATTCGTTGTCCAACTGCTATACTAGTGCCTAGTATAATGCCTGACACATAGTAGGTATTAATAAATACTTGTCGATTAATTGATGCTATTCCTACCTGCCTGGATTGCCTTTCTTCTTTCTCCTTGTATGGTCTTTAACAATTTGTGATCATGTCCTCCCTTCCCAAATAAAGCATAAGCCCCCCAAGAGTAGGGCCCCTTTATCTTCGTCACTTATCACAATGTCAGCTGCTGCTGCTGCTGCTGCTGCTGCTGCTGAAGTAAATAAGGAGCTTTTCAAATCCATAACTCATGCAAAGAAATGGGAAGAAAGCCATTAATAAATTGGATGCTATATTTCCATCTAAAATTTTTTCAATTATTCTTATTGTGTTCAGCTTCAAATCTGCACTATCAGAAACATGTCATTAGTAAAGATTTATTGGTTCCCCATTACCAGCTCTGATGGGTCCAGAGAAGATTCTCACTAGAAAGCTGGATACCAGGCAATGTTATGAATCCAGATTATCTCATGAAACGTAGAGGGATTCCTAGCTATGTCACTGGAGGGGAGTAGGTCCCGTGCCAGCGAAATCACAGATATTTCCAAGTATCAAATCAACTTCTCCGCTTTTCAGAATCAGCATTCGAGCCTTCACTCAGTTATTTGATGAGAACCTGAAGGAATTTACAGAGCCGCTCTTCTCAGATACATTTTTCTCTTTGCCCATCACTACCGAATCAGGTAAGATTAACTTTCTTTCAACATTGATACTTCAACCTGACCATAAAAATTTCATCTACTAAGCCTAAGTGCTCAATAGGGATATCTAGTCAATTAATTTATTTATGGAATTCCTTAGGCATTTAATTTAATCTCAAAAAACACTATTCTATCCGTGAAATTAAAAGGAGATTAGGATGGTCTGCACATAAAGGCTAAAGATAGAGATTTAGAAAGATGAAGGCTAGGAAAGCATGCGATAAAAGTATATGAAAGAGGTATGAGTAGACTGACTCTCGATAGTAATTTACCAAATACTAGGAGGCTAGCACTGGGAATGAAAACCTTTGAAGTGTAGAAGGAGATATTGTAAAAAGGAAGAGCTCCCTTAAAGAGTAGGAAGCAAATGTAACTTCCAGAAGGCTTCAGATAAGTTCATGAAAGGTACTTTTAGAGTGGTTTAATAAGGGGAAACTTTGGAATATCTGGGGCAATTCCCTAATCTCTAGGGGAAAAAATTATATATTCTTTGAAAAAAACATTCCCTGATACCATGGTCAGAGACAGAATCATGGTCTAGCTGGGTCTGGTCTGACCAAGTGACATTTCTCATATTCCTTTATCCACTTTTGCATTTGGACCCACCTTTAAATATAGCATCACAGAATTAGAAGACAGCCCAACAAGTCTTTTATTTCAGTCCTTAGATGAACTAGGACATCCAGAAGAAACTATACAGATGATTGTCTGACTCTTCATCTTAAATCAGGGGAGGAGATTGCTATAGTCTCTCTCTGAAATCAATCTCACATTACTATTAGTATTCAGGAAGTCCTTTTCAGTATCTAAATTGGTTCTCCCTGGTTGCAATTAGAGGTTATTTCCTTCTGTTTATAAGTCTTAGAAAATGACCCAACATCACAGGCCCTAGTGGCTATTTATGCCAAATGCAGAGATAATCACCTTATTATTCAATTCTATATAGGGATTAGAATGAAGCTAAGAGGATTTGGACATGTTTGCTATAATTTAATGTTAAGAAGAGACTCTGTAAATACATTTTTTCCTATTTGGAACATTTTTATTTGATAAAAAAACACACGTGGCTTGGGAAATGAAAATAGTAGAAATCATGTGTGTACATAGAACCTTGGTTTTGACACTAGCTATATCACTCTGAGCCTCAGTTTCCTTATTTGTAAAATGGGACAAATATTACCTTCCCTACCAACTTAAGAGAGTGGTTGAAGGGAACATCCTTTTGTATGTAAACTAAATCTAAAGGCACCAAAAAATGTTAGTTATTATTATGAAGATTGAAAAGAAGAACATCATTATTAAAAAAAAAACATCCAATGCTTAAAAATACCCACTTTGAAAATCATTATTCACAAATCATTATTCAAAAGTTATTATTCATATAGCCATTCTTCAAACTTGTTTAATACTGGAAAGAAAGGGTCCTCTTCCAATTTACTAGGTTTACAAAAGCTCTATTTCTGGGTATCACTTTTCATTTGTAGGTTAGTACCCAATTGCTTTTGCAGTGTTTACAAATGATATACTTTAACTCAAAATACTTCAAGGACCAATAATTTCATCAGTGTCTTTGCTCTTTCCTCCTATACTGTTCCTAATTCCTCTACAACTTTGTCAGAGGGTCTTTGAGAGTTGGTATGACTGAAAAATTTGACAATCTATGGCTAACCTAGTGATAAGCCACTCAATACTTAGCTTGATAAGTCCTTAGATAACAGGAGGTGAGAGGGGAATAGCCTCCATATAGCACCTATCACGTGCCAGGCACTGTGCTACGTACTTTGACAAATATTACATCACTGACGCTTACAACAACCTTGTGAGGTAGATATTGTTATTATCTACATTTTACAGTTGAGGAAACTGAGGAAAACACGTAAAATGATTTGCTTGAGGGTCACACAACCAGGAAGCATCTGAAGTCAGATTTGAACTCAGGTCTTCCTGACTCTAAGTCCAATACTCTATGCACTTCACTACCTAGCTGCCCCTAAAAGGTGTGCAGTCCATCACCAGGTCCATAACAAAAGTCTTTCTAGCTTTCTTGGAACCCATCAAAATTTGCATTCCATTGGAGTAGTCTTTGAGAACCTAAGTGATGTCCATGACAAAACACCAAAATAGGTCTTTATGGAAATGACAAACTACATAAGCTACACTGAATGTTGACATTTATCCCAAAGAACTTTGAGTTCAAACACACACTGCTTCTAAAGTTAAAAATCTGTAGCCAGCCTCAGAAACAAAATGACCCATCTGTTGACTACCATAATGGTTCTAGCTGGAAAAAGTCCTTCTCATCTGTTTATTTAGACAAAGAGAGACAGTATGGTATAGTTGATAGAGTGTTGGCCTTGGGGTCAGAAAGCCATATTCACATCTTGCCTCTGACACTTACCAGCAGGGTTACTGTGGGTAAATGATAACCTCTCAGTGTCTTAAGCAGCTCTCTAGGACATGTCTCACTCAGCTGCAGATTGTGATCTGCGTTGGTAGAGGGAGTTCCCACCTTAGGAACTGCTTATGCCATGAAATCATAGACCTTTCCAACATTCACAGGTTTAAACCATGGGTACAGGTACATTTTCTAATCAATCTCAAAAGCAAAATTTCCTCCAGAGAGAGGAATTGAGTTGCTCCCTATTATTTTCCTTGAAGTAATTCCCACATTGGGCTTTGTTTCGTTTCATTTGGATTCTCTTAGAGCCTTTGTTTGGAGTTATTGAAGGAGTGAGTGCTGGACTGTTCCTAATTGGCATGCTGGTGGCGGTCATTGCCTTATTTATCTGTAGACAGAAAGTGAGGTAGGTACAGAATCACCTTTCCTGGGGGGATTCCAACAAACACTGAAATTCAATTTTAAATGAGTTTTCGCTTGACAAAAAAGATTTTTAAAAATTTCTGCTAGCTTAAACCCTTTTTATACCCCAATAAATAGAACAAATAAAGTGCAACTTCTTTATCTTGGCATTCAAAGTCCTTCATAACCGGGCTCCAATTCTATCTGACTGCATTCCTCCTCACAAACTCATCAAGCTTTATCATGTTTCATTGCATACATCCTATATTTTCCCATATGTCTATGTGTTTGTGTGAGTATGGGTGTACACGTGCGTGTATATGCAGGGCATACATTTCTATGTATGTATACATATATATTTGATACACAAGTACACACATGTAAGTATATGTATATATGTTTAAGTACATATTGCACATGTATGTAATATTTTCATATTACACAGAGAAGAGAAAGGGATGGAAAGGGAGGAAGAGGGAAAGGGGGGAAGAGGGAAAGAGAGAGAAAGGGAGAGAAAGTAAGGGGGAGAGAGAAAGAGAGAGAGAGAGAGGGAGGGAGGGAGGAAGAGGAGAAGAGAAGAGAAGAGAAGAGAAGAGAAGAGAAGAGAAGAGAAGAGAAGAGAAGAGAAGAGAAGAGAAGAGAAGAGAAGAGAAGAGAAGAGAAGAGAAGAGAAGAGAAGAGAAGAGAAGAGAGAGAGGAGAGAAAGAGAGAAGGGAGAGAGGAGAGAAGTCAAGCTTTAATAGCTTAAAATGGCACTAAGATTTTTGGGACACTGTGTTGTGTGTGTGTGTGTGTGTGTGTGTGTGTGTGTGTGTGTGTGTGTATGTGTGTATATGTATGTGTATGTGTATATATGCATATATATATATATATACGTGTGTGTGTGTGTGTGTACGTACGTACGTACGTATGTATGTATATATCTCTTGGTCACAGCACCACTGGCCTGAAAATAACCTTTTTTTTTCTCCTCCCCTCACCCAACATCTCTGCCCCTTGACATCTGTCCAATGCCCAGCTCAAATGCCATCTCTTTGTTCAACAGCTCCAGTCCCATTCCCCAACTAAAAGTAGTTTCTACTTAATCTGATCTCACAGTCTTTTTTATTCTTCTTACTCATTTTCCATATTCAAATTTGCATTTTGATCATCTGTCAACTTATCCTATCTCCCCTAATAGATTTTAAGTTTCTTGAGGACAAGAACTATGTTTCGTTCATCTTTCTGTCCTAATCAGTGCCTAGCAGAGAGCATTTCACATACTAGCAGGAACTTCATTAGTGTTTACTGGATGAAAAAAGGAAAAAGGAAAATGGAGTTTAATTTCCCATCATCCTTATGTCTTCTAATGTTGAAAATGTCAACTCTTATTCATATTACTAATACTGGGAAAGTGCACTCACCATATTTCACCCTCTTTTCTGCCTTATTTTAACTCTACTCTCCTTAATAAACACTATAGTTCAACTGAATTGGACCACACCTTTATTTCATCCTTCCAGTCTTTCTCCATGCAGTACAGGTTTTTGCTTATGCTTCGAACATATTGTTTCCTCATCTCTGCCTGATGAAACGTTTATTTTCCTTTGAGGCCAAATCCAGGTGCCATCATCTCCAAGAAACCTGTCCTGATCCATCCCCTAACTAAATGTTCTCTCTCCCGTCTTTTATTTATTATAACCTTCTGTCTGGTTTCTCCTTTGCCCTGGTCCTGTTCTGCTTTGTATCATGTTTGTTTGGGCACGAGTTTCTTCTTTCCATTAGGTAAGGACTTTGTTCTTTAAATCCCTAGGACCCAGCACAATGCCTTCTATAGAATAGACCTTTTATAAATGTTGGGTGAATGGCATTGAATTGTTTAGTCTCTTTCAGTCTTGAATAAGCCTTTGGGGTCAGGAACTAAAAGTTCTCATTTGATTCAATTTCTTGAGGTCATTTCCAGCTCCATGATCTATGATTCTAGGAAGTGTTTGCATAGAGCTTGACATTTTCTATTCTCAATTACTTAACTGAATTGCAATTACGTTTTAAAACTGCAGTTGGTTTTCGCTATTTTGTGACTCATTTTCTGTAATTTAATTATTGGAAGTAAAGGGAGATGGAGTCACCATTAAATACCACATGTTTACAGTGCCAAGAATGCCAGAAATGCCATTAAATTAGGCTTTTTTTCTTATTTATTACATTTTCTTTCTTATTTCTTCCTTATATATGGAGGTACAGTGGATAGAATTCTGGGCCTAGAGCCAGCATGACCTGAGTCAAAACCTAGCCTCAGACATTTACTAGCTCTGTGACCCTGGACAAGTCACTTAACCTCTGCTTGTCTCAGTTTCCCCAACTGGAAAATGGAGATAATGACAGTACCTATCTCCTAGGGTTATTGTGAGGATCAAATGAGCTAACATTTATAAAGTGCTTGGGAACCTCAAAGCACAGGGCCAGGCCCACAGAAATAAATGCTCATTCTCTCCTCTCCCCTTCTTCCTTATTTTTGGTCTTCTCTCCTGCTTTCATGCCTTGTTCTATATGTATTGCTTTTGTAAAGGAAGGTTCCTTGAGGGAATAAGAAGTGATTATAACCCAACTCTGGAAGAAACCCTCCACTATTGCACAGATTGATTTAAGAAGTGGAATATACGTCTCTATTTGTCCTTTCTACATGTACAAGAGATTGAGGCAGTCTATATTTTGGCAAACATCTAGATGAAAACCCAAGGCTCAAGTCAAGCATCTATGTAGATCCAATTTTATTATTCCTATCTCTCTGCCTCCTCTCTTTCCCCCTTCAATCTATCTTTTTTTTTTGGGGGGGGGGTTAGGCAATGGGGTTAAGTGACTTGCCCAGGGTCACACAGCTAGTAAGTGTCAAGTGTTTGGTCTGAGGCCAGATTTGAACTCAGGTCCTCCTGAATCCAGGGCCGGTGCTCTATCCACTGCACCACCTAGCTGCCCTAAAATCTATCTTCTTCATCCCACTACAAGACCCAACTGGTCATTTCTCTTCTCTGTTCAAAAATGGAGCCACAAGAAACTTCACAAGTCTGTTGAGGGGTTCCTCTATAAATTTATGCTATCATCTAAACTGGGCACCTTCTTCATTAAGGCAATCCTTCTCTTCTTCCCTTTCGATCACCTATCCTTCTCCCCACAAGGCTTCTCTTCTGAAGGCTACAAAAGTACCGTTTCTCCCCAAACCCTATCTCACAGGGTTGTTGTGAGGATCGAACGAGATAATATTTGTAAATTGCTCAGCATAATACCTGGCACATAGTAGGTGCTTAATTAATGCTTATTCCTTTCCCCCTTCTGAACTTCCCTCTTATCACTGAGGGCACCATTCTTCTGACAGTTAGCCAGATTAGAAACCTTGGTGTTGTTTTAACTCTTCATTCTCAACTACCCCACACATGCATTTAGTTGCCAAATCTGCTTCTATCTCTACGATATCTATCTTGTCATTCCCACTTGCATAGGCACCTTCCTAGTTCATTCACCCATTACTTCTCTCCTGGAATTTTCTAGTAGTCTCCTATTTGGGCAGCTAGGTGACTCAGTGGATGGAATGTCAGGCCTGGAGTCAAGAAGACTCATCATCCTGGGTTTAAATCTGGCCTCAGACACTTACTAGCTGTGTGAACTTGAGCAAATCACTTAATCCTGTTTGCCTCAGTTTCCTAATCTGTAAAATAATCTGGAGAAGGAAATGGCTAATCACTCCAGTATCTTTGCCAAGATGATCCCAAATGGGGTTGCAAAAAATAGGACACTGAAATGACCGAACAGCACCCTATTTGGGCTTCCTACCTCCAGCCTCTCTCCATTCTGATTCATCCTCCATCCAGCTGCCAAAGTGATTATGCTGAAGTGCAGGTCTCATCAAGTTACCTCCATGTTCAGCAAATTCCTGTAGTTCCTTATTGCCTTGAAGATAACATGTAAACTCCTGTGTTTGGCATTTAAATCTCTTCTCAACCTGTCTCCAACCTACCTTTCCAATCTCATTATACTGTCATTCTACAAGGATGTGTGTCAGTCTCTGCTGAGTGCTAAGGCTAAAAAATATATATATGTATATATATATATATATATATATATGTATATATACACACACACACATATACATATATACATATATATATATAATATATATGTAATATGTGTGTGTGTGTGTTATATATATACATATACACACACACATATATAGTCCCTGTCCTCCAAGAACTCACATTCTAATAGAGGGGGATAATTTCCCTTCATTCTGCAGTCTAAACAAACAAGTTTTTTCCTGCTCCCTATGTATGGCATTCCATTCTCTGTCTCAGGCAGCATGTTACACCAAAGGTACACTCACTCTTGGAGTGAGAAAGACCTGGGTTCCAGGGTCTTTAACCAATACTGGCTTCTGATCATGGCCAAGTCACTTAATGCCAGACCAGTGACTGATCTGCACTGGTTGAGGAAAGATTTCACAGTTAGAGCCCCCCACACTGATTAAATCACTGATCTCCCCCTACCCCAGCCTCCCTACCCACCACCCCAACCACCACTGGACAAAAAACATCTATACTGTTGTCTTTTCTTCCTACTATGCTATAAGTTGCTAGAAAGAAAGATCATCACTTATCTAAACTTTATATAACTTTAAGTATCTAGCGTTGTGATAAGTATACAGTAGGTGTTTAGTCAATTTTTGTTGCATAGAATCAAATTGTGTATGACAATGAACATGAAAAGTGTCCTCCCTTGTGTTTTAGCCATGGTCAGGACAGACCCACGGCCAGACTCAGCATCCGTAGGGATAGACCATTGTCCGTCCATCTGAACCTGGGGCAGAAAGGGTAACCTATCATATTTTCTTCTGAGGATGTTTTGTAAAAACTTAGTTGACTATTTTTTCTGATGATTTACTTATAAGGTTTTTGTTGTTTCTTTTGCAGAAACCGGAGAACTTCTAGGTAAGGGGGAAGGGAGGGAGAGAGGGGAAGAAAGAGAGAGAGAGAGAGAGAGAGAGAGAGAGAGACAGAGAGAGACAGACAGAGACAGAGAAACAGAGTCAGAGAGAGAGACACAGAGAGAGAGAATGTCAGAGACAGAAACAGAGAAACAGAGTCAGAGAAAGAGACACACAGAGAGAGAAAGGGACAGAGAGAGAGAAGGAGAGAGAAAGGAGAGAGAAAATGAGATAAAGGAGAGATGGAGAGAGAAAAAGAAAAGAGAGAGGAGGGGGGATGAGAGAAAGAGAAAGGAGAGACAGAGACAGAGAGACAGAGTCAGAGAGAGAGAGAGAGAGAGAGAGAGAGAGAGAGAGAGAGGAGAGAGAATGACAGAAAGAGAGAAAAGAGAGATGAAGAGAGAAAATTAAAAAAGAGAGAAGAAGGAGAATGGGAGAAATAATGAGAGAAAAAGAGAAAGGAGAGAGAGAGAATGAGAAAGAAAAGGTGAAAGAGAAAGGAGAGAGAGAGAAAGAGAGAAAGGAAAGGTGAAAGAGAAAGGAGAGAGAGAGAGAGAGAGAGAAAGGAAAGGTGAAGAGAAAGAGAGAGAGAGAGAGAGAGAGAGAGAGAGAGAGAGAGAGAGAGAGAGAGAGAGAGAGAGAGAGAGAGAGAGAGAGAATGCTCGCTGCCTATCCATTAGAGTGTGTGCTTTTGAAAGATTGTTCAGATCTGGTCCTTTGACTCAATAATAGTCTGCTGTTGTTATTGTTTTAATGGCAGCCCCATAAAAGTTAATCAGTTTGAAGCACACTTCATGAAGCTACAAGCAGATTCCAACTATCTTCTCTCCAAAGAATATGAGGTAGGAATCAAGGCCAAATAACCATCTGACTTCCAACGCAATAGTTTAGCAATCCCTTTAACCTTTCATCTGGGCTCAGATTCTGATTTTGGCTGCGAGTTAGGATGAGTTTTAATATCTCAACCAGGCTATTACAGTCTGTGTAACTTTTATATTGAGTTGTATATTTGAAACCTGAAGACTTGCCTTGATGTCCCAGCCCTGCCTCTTACTATTAGGCAGCTGGGTGGTCCAGTGAAGAGAGCACTGGGTCTAGAGTTAGGTCTAGGAAGACCTGAGTGCAAGTCCAGCCCCAGACACTTAGCAGTGTATAACCTTGGACAAGTCACTTAATGTCTGCTGCCTCAGTTTCCTCATCTGTAAAATGAAAGTAGAAAGGAAGAGGTGGGTTGGATAACCTCTAAGGGTCACCTGTGCTTTAAATCCTATGATCCTGTCCAGAGGAGCTGAGTTCAAATGTGGCCTCAGACCAAACACTTGACAATTACCAACTGTGTGACCCTGGGCAAGTCACTTAACCCCAATTGCCTCACCAAAAAAGCAAAAAATTAAATTAAATTAATAAAAATAAATAAATCCTATGATCCTGTGACTATGGCACAGTGCTGACAGTTTGGTTTCAGGAAGAGATGGGCAAATTATAGGAGTCCAAGGAGCCAAAACAAATGGTCCTCATGTTATTAACCCAGAGTGTTCCTTTCTGATTTAAACAATGCTATCATTTATTTATCCGCTTAATTAAATAGACAAAAAAAAAGACCCCTCTTTACTTGGCTTTAGATGACCCAGGTGCTTTGAGGTTACTATTCACATCATTTAATAATTTTTCACTTGGAAACTTTTATTTCTGTCTTAACAGGATTTAAAAGAGGTGGGTCGAAACCAGTCATGTGATACGGCCCTCTTGCCAGAGAACAGAGGGAAAAATCGATACAACAATATACTGCCCTGTGAGTTTTGTGTTGGTGTATGTAATGCTACCTCCTGCAGCCCAATTTTCACCTCTTTTTCTGTAAAACAAATGAGGCTTAGGAAAGGAAGTACAACCATCTCCACGAGGAAATGAATAGTCCCAGTCCAGACAGAGCTCAGAGTTTTGGTGCAGAAGAGCTATGACTTTTAATACGAATTGACTTTCAGGTTATTTCCCTTCCCACCAGAGGCAGAGGCACGAGAAATAATGGGCATTCTGGTTATGAGAAGCTACAGCTGTTCCAGTCGCTCAGCTGGGCTGTCATAATTGATACCACTCAGAGCCCTAACAGAAACCATGGAACGTAATATTTGTTACTCGGCTCAGAAGGCAGCAGTGGCTTCTATGAACTAGGGTCATTCCAGCCTTGCCAAGGAGCTGACCTCCATGATGAATGAATGTAACAGCTTTGCACAGGGGTGTCTGTCAGCTAGTGGCCTTCACTCACAATTTTAAAATGTGCATGCCTTGTCCAAGAACAGGGAAGTCACCACCCCCCCCGGATTCAAAGACAAACTTCTATTAGAGGTTCATCACCTGGGGTCTCTGAACACTTTAAAAAAACTTTTATATTTTTGATATGATTGTACATGTATAACCTATATCAGATTACTCACTGTCTGGACAGGGGGAAGGAGAGGGATGGAGAAAAAAATTTGGAATTCAAACTCTCATAAAAATGAATGCTGAAAACTAGTAAATAAATATTTAAAAATTAAAAATAATTTTTAATAACTATACTTCCTATAATTCCTTTGCAGTCCTATGTACTTTATTTTATACATTTAAAAGCATTATTCTGAGAAGGGGTCCAAAGACTTCACCAGATTGCCAAAGGGGTCTATGACGCACAAAATGTTTAAGAATCCCTGCATTAGTCTTCCCCATAACTTGAGACATGTTCACCTTTAGCATCTGATTCTGGCTGCCTACTCATTAACTCCCAGCAGCACGAATTCAACCCTAGCCATTCAAACTAAACTATGCTTTTGCTTAACAAGCCAAGACATTGTGGGCCTGAGGTGATATCTTCATTCACAGAGGAAAAGAAATTAGAGGTGATCTTCTACATGTTTTGTAATATATCTTTTATGTACCTAGTTATTTCCATGCGGTCTCCATCCCCCTTAGAATGAAAGCTTCTTGAGGGCAGGGGCTGTCTTTGCCTTTCTCTGGATCCTCAGAGCTAAGCACAACGCCTAGCATATAGTTAGCATTTAATAAGTACTTATTGCCTGACTGATTCTTTCAATAACCTGCTTTCCAGATGATACAACGAGAGTGAAACTTTCTAATGTCGATGATGACCCTTGCTCGGACTATATCAATGCCAGCTACATACCAGTAAGTGTGAGAGTACCCTATATCCTGGAGTCACTCTGCCCAAAGAAAAAGCTTTGGTGGACAGCCTTATTTAAAGTACGTTCCCCTGGACATACTTAGTGTTCTCATTTAATAGCTTGTGAACCTTCTCTGTTTTATTTCTCTTTAAAGACTGTATCTGATTGACTAACAGTGCCTGATTGCCATAAAATGAATGGTGTCCAATTCAATCAGTGCTAAACCCCACTTTCTGGAATTGCTATAATCAGATCACATCATGGTTATCGGGAGCCAGAGACACATTTCCAAATGTCATCTCTCTCTCTCTCTCTCTCTCTCTCTCTCTCTCTCTCTGTGTGTGTGTGTGTGTGTGTGTGTGTGTCTCCCTCCTAGCTTAGCTATCAGCCCAGTGAACAGGCAACCAATGAGGCCATGACTCAGCCTGTCAGTGTGGCTAGCCTGATTCTGCTCTCATCCTATTTCAATTCAATCCTATGAAACTACAGCCATATCTTGTTTCTCACACTCATAATTCAAGACATGTTTCCTCTTTAGGATCTGATTCTGACTGTACACTCGTTAACTTCCAGCAGCATGAATTCAGTCATCTAAACAGCCTGGGCTTTTGCTTAAACCATTGTGACAAGGCATTGTGGGCCTGAGACAGTATCTTCATTCACAGAGGAAAAGAGTAAATTGAGATAGTTAAGCAGATTATTTGGGTCAAAAGGGTTTGTCTTGACACAATAAAAAGACGCTTGAATTCTAAGTCCTGTTTTTGATCTATCTAGCTATATGACCCTGGACACATCACTTAACCTCACTGGGTATCAGTTTCTTCAACAGTAAAATGCTAGGGTTGGATAAGATAAGATCTGAGGTCCCTGCCTCTGTTTTCTAGATAGTTGCCTCAGTTCTCCACTTCCTTTTCACCCTAGACACATCTTTGCTTCTTTTTTGTCTCTGTAACCCTGGTGCCTAAAATTTCATAGATGCTTATTGATAAAAAGGGAACTTATCTTCCACCAATACTTAAACATTCTGACCTATGCCCTTCCTGCTTCTAAGCACTTCCAAGGGACCTTGGGGAACATTTTATTACCTCTTTCTCAAGAGGATATAAACATATCATCCAATCTACAACCAGGTCTGGCCCTTTGTTTAATTCTTAAGAGTCTATTGTTTCTGGACTCACAGACTGTAAATTCATTGCAGGGCAACAACTTTAGAAGAGAATACATTGCTACTCAAGGGCCCCTTCCTGGCACCAAAGATGACTTTTGGAAAATGTCGTGGGAACAGAATGTCCACAACATCGTAATGGTGACCCAGTGTGTAGAGAAGGGTCGGGTAAGTAAAAAAAAAAATTCTCCTTGACTTACCTCTCAGAAGTGTCACTTGGATAAAATTCAGCAATCAGGTCAACAAGCATTTATTAAACATCTACTATGTGCTCAGTGATAGCAATACAAAGAAATGCAAAACCAATCCCTGACCTCAAGGAACATTGTCAAAAGTCAGAGGGAGAACTGAGCTGGATAGAAATTGTTAAAGGGGACTCCTTAAAGAATTTTATAATAGAAGACCCCAAAAAGCATGCCAAGGTTGTAGACCATATGAGCTGTGCTAAGCCCTGAGAATGTAAAGCAAGGCAGAAATTCTTCCCTGAAGTTTGTGACAGGCAGAGCCAGCCATAGACACTGAATCCATTGCTACAAATGGTAAGGGAGAGAAGGGTCCTCATTCTAGCAGGACTTTGTCACTTCTCTTTTATGTCCCAGATGCAAAGTTGATGCATTTGAATGAACACACAGCTTGTGGGTGAATCACTTGTCTGCTCATTTGGAGTCAGAAGAGTTTTTGTTGTTTTATTTTGTTTTGGTTTGGTTTTTTATTCAAATAATACCTTGGATTCTCCACTTCTTTTTGTATGTATAAACAGACTGATTTGCCAATCTGATCAGAATCAGATTCTGATCTTTTAAAGTAAAAGCTGCCAACCACTTAATACTCTTAAATCCAAGCTGAAACGGGGGAATGGGGAGCAGGGAGTGGGGTGGAGTGTTGTTGTACATTCTCAATATGGGTAACAAAGCCAAAAAGCTTTGTACCTTCCCCTGTCCAACTCCATCCTTCAAACACCATTTCCAGAGGGCTGATCACTTCTAAAGCTTTGTCTAGGGATGAAAGTGAACTAAACAATGACCAGAAAGCCCAAGTCACATTACATTGCCCTTGAAATGGATGATAACAGAAACAAAAGAATGATTCTGTGTTGTGTGTATCTAAGGTGGGGGATGGTGCCTTTTCCCCAAGTCATCTGGAAATTCTGTTTACTGTTCCCCATTACTTCATTTGTGTAGCCACAACTTCAAGCTTAGTCATGAAAACGTTCGCATTGAGGGATTAGTCTGGCGACTAACAAGTTGGTTACTCTAGTAGGTGGCACCAACACCTAACTCAGAAAGGCACTTTCAGGATCCAAAGGGCAGATTCCCCAGTGGCACATATTCCAGGACTCATTTTTGCCCCCCTCTCTTTTACTCCAGGTCAAATGTGATCACTATTGGCCAGCCGACCAAGATTCCCTCTATTATGGAGACCTCATCGTGCAGATGCTATCGGAGTCTGTGCTGTCGGAATGGACAATCAGAGAATTTAAAATATGCAGTGTACGTTGGTGGGCTTCCTGATTTGACTTTTATTTATTTCTTTATCTTAAACAACTTAGCCTGTGAAAATGAATGGGGCCAGTTAATCCTGCTCCTGGTTGATTACTCTCCTATGGATGAACACCTGTAATTGCAATCCTGCTAATCAAATGGGCTGTTTCCTGCTTGTGAGTGTGATTGGGGCGTTCAGATGTCTGCCTTGGTTCATTCTTCTCGTTATCTTTACCTCGGACAGGAGGAACAGCTTGATGCAAACAGACTCATCCGTCACTTTCACTACACAGTCTGGCCAGATCATGGAGTTCCAGAGACCACCCAATCCCTGATCCAGTTTGTAAGGACAGTCAGGGATTATATTAACAGAACACCAGGGGCTGGGCCCACCATTGTGCACTGCAGGTAGGCATTAACACCAAATTCTAAGCAAAGAGCAGCCTCTCTGGGGCCATGTTCAGGAGATCAAAACAAGGCATAAACATGGCGCAATCCAATGGTTAGAAGTCCAACTGCCAGGCTAGTCAACTAAATTTGCATATTTAGAGAGAAGACTCTTTCCTGGACCTTTAAGGGGACTTTTTAGTCTCTGCCCATCCTTCTCCTTCTTTCCTCCTATAAAGTACCTTGCCCATTTTCTTACCCTTTTCACCACTAAACTGCTCCATATGAAAGGGGCCTTAGTGGCATGTACTATAATGGGACAACATCCCTTTAAGGCCCTTTTCATATAGAGCACCTCAGTAATGAAAAGCACAGCAAGACAGACGGTGCATGTACCTTATACCAATGTAGTAAATCCAAATTCTTTTGTCTACTTTTCTCGGCCTTCCATATAGAGGCCCTAGCCTGTTAACTTTACGTTTCAAGTTTATTTCTAACTATTCCTCAGCACCACCCGTCAAACTGGCCTCCTCAATATCCCATGAATGCACCATGAATCTAATCTCCCTGCACTGGATTATGTTGCTGTCTCAGCCTGTGATGTTATCTCCTTTTCTTAATAATCTTGTTGAAGCATGTAAAGTCTATTTCACTCCATCCATGAGATTTTTTCCAAACATTGTCCTAGGATCACAGCATTTAGAGCTGGAAAGGACATTAAATCCCATCTAGTCCAACTCCATCATTTTATAGATGAGGAAACCGAGGCTAAGAAAAGTTAAGTGAATTACCCAAAGTCATCCAAAGTCACTCAGATGGGGAATAAAAGAGCTGAGTGTAGAACTGAGGCTTCTGATTCCAAATACAGTACTTGTATGATGGGGCTAATAAACATTTTGTACACAGGCAAAAAAAAATGCAGATATTGTTTTGTTTTTGTTTTTTATTTTGTTTTACCCATAATGAGGTCTATTATCAACTTCCTCTCATAGCAAATTCCCAAATCTGATAATAATGATTTTCTGTCTCTTTGCCTCGAAGTACTACCTATGAGATCAGAATAATACTTATTTAACAAGCATTTATATAGTATCTCTTCTATACTCAGGCATGGTGGTAGGTTCCTGGAGATATAAAGATTGGAAATATCCTTGCCTTCACAGAGCTATGCCTTGAAGGAAACCAAGGATTCTACAAAATGGTGGGGAGAAGGAAATGTATTCTAGGCATGGGGGATAGCCAGTGCAAAGACATGGAGATGGAAAATGGAGATGCCCAGGAAGGCTGGTATGGCTGAACCATAAAGTGAAGGGAGGGGAATAATGCATAAAGAGGCTAGAAAGGTAGATGAGCACCAGGTTGTGAAGGACTTCAAATGCCAAGAAGAGGGCTTTTGTTCAGATTTTTGCTTAAGGTAAATCTCTTTGATGATAGGGAGCCATTGCAGTTCATTCAACAGTAAAATGACGTGGTTATATCTATGTGTTGGGAAAATCACTTTGATGATATAGAGTCACCAAAGTTTATTCAATAACAGAATGACATGGTCAGGCCTGTGTGCTGGGAAAATCACTCTGGCAGCTCTTTGGAGAATGGATTGTAGCAGAGACAAGGTGAGACCCATGAGTCAATTCAGTCTATTGGGAGAACCATAATGTTTGACTAGTTAGTGGTTGGAAGAACACTGATATTCCTTGCTAAGAGCCATTAATGGAGGTACACACATTATTATCTTTAAAAAAAAATTAACACAAATGTTAAAGACACTCAGATTTTTATCTAAACAGACCAATAACCCATTGGATTTTGTGTGCTATTAATAGAAATATGCCAGATCTGTTCCTTATTAGCTCTATGACCTTAAGTGAGACACGTGATCACTGTGGGCCTCAGTTTCCTATACAAAGTGAGAATTTTGATCTGCATGATCTTTGAGGTGCTTTCCAACTATAAATCAGAAGGCTTGGGCTTGCATCCTATCTCTTCCATTTACTGCCTGTATAACCTTGTCATACAAGTCATTCATCTATCTGTCCTTCTATTTCCTTATTTGTAAAATGAGAAGCATTAGACTGGATGACCTCAAAGGTCTCTTCCATCTCTAAATCTATGATCCTATGAGTTACTAAAGAGCACTTTGGCTTCTGAGGAATGTGCCTGTCATTGGATAATTATTGCTGGGCTGAGGATGAAGTAATTTCCCCCAAGGGAAAAGGTCTTTTCAATCCTGCAAACAACTCACACAAGAAATTCAAAATTTCTCCCAGAAATAGTAGGAAGGGCAAAAATACTACAACAAACCTACCTACATGTTATCTAAGACTTGATGAAACATGATACTTCCTGACAGAGAGGTGATGAACTCAAGATGAGAAATGAGACTTGGCCAATGCAGGAGTTTGCTTTGTTTGACTATGCTTATTTGTTAGAAGAATTTTACTCTTCTTTTTTTTAAAAGTGGGGAGGAGAGAGAGAGAAAAAGAGAGAGAGAGAGAGAGAGAGAGAGAGAGAGAGAGAGAGAGAGAGAGAGAGAGAGAGGCAGCCAGCCAGAGAATAAATGCTCGTCAACTAAAAAAAGTAAAATAAAATAAAAGTTACATTTAAAATGAAGGCAGAGATTTTTTTTTAAATGTTTCATGGTTCGTATCTGTTCTCCATCTTTTTCAGTGCTGGTGTGGGTAGGACAGGAACCTTCATTGCACTGGACCGCATCCTGCAACAGTTAGACTCCAAGGACTCTGTTGACATTTATGGAGCAGTGCATGATCTCAGACTTCATAGGGTTCACATGGTTCAGACAGAGGTAAGAGTTAGAATCTAAGCTGTGCAGACCACTCAGAAAGTTTGACTATTTCAATGGATTAGGAAGAAAAATGGAGAGAAGAAAAAGGGAGAACTACATTTGGATTGTTTAGGGGAATTGTTATTTTTCAGGTTCAATACTGTTGGACTCTGGGTAACACTTGTCCTTTCTAGCTGCCTGTGTATATGATATGGTAAAAAGCAGGAAAATGGATTGTTTTTAATCCATGCTTTGTGCAGGAGAGATTATAGATGGTTTGGAATGCATTTTCCACCCACTCAGTAAGTATGTTGAATATTGATAACAGCTGCTAGGCCCCAGGGGCTTCAATACTCCCCCTCACTCCCTTCTCCACTAAGGGATCTCTCTCTTTTGGACCCATACATGGGTCCCTGATCAGGTTCAGCTCTGGGGGAGCTTAACCTAGAAAAGAGAAGATTTACTTATATTGGGCTCATGTCTATGTCCCCCCCAAATGGGTGGGAAAGTAAAATATATGTAACATATTACATTACATTGTAATGTAAATCAGAGATGAGACAAGTGTTTATTTCTTATACACAAAAAAAATATAAGACACTCATAAGCGTGTACTAACATAAAGATTTAAGTTAAATAAGAGACAGCACAAGCTACTGCTCTACTCTGCCAGAAAGAACAACAAAAATGATGATGATGATGATGATGGTGATAATAATAACTTTTATATAGCACTTACTATGTGCTGAGCACTTTAGAAATATTATCTCATTTTATCCTCATGACAATCCTGGAAGGTAGGTGCTATTATTATCCCCATTTCACAGATGAGGAAACTGAGGCAAACAGAACTGAATTGACTTGCCCAGAGTCACATATCTAGTAAGTGTCTAAGGCCAGACTCAACAGCAGGTCTTAGCTCTAGCCTAGTATTCTATCTAATCAGTGGCAGCTAGATGTTCTCGCATCCTTCTCTTGGCTTTCAACTCCCTATTAGCCATTTTTGTTCTGTCCTTTCCAGGTCAAAGGTCATGCTTCTTGGTAGGAAAAAACAAAGAAACAAAACAAAAAAACCATAGACATAAAATTGAGTAGCTCTGACCTCAGACATCTTTCTGTCTTCTGTTATCATTGCCTCATCCACTCTGATAAGTGTTCTGTTTTCACCAATATTGCTAAAACAAAGCCCCTTTTGCTTTATTTGGTCTTATTCCTAGCCATCTTCAGCTTATTCCAGGTTTTAGCATTCTCCATGCTATTCTCATAACCCCATGCCATACTTTCGAATTCATCCTTTGTTGCCTTATCATTCTATCTTTGGTTCATATCTTCATTTTTTTAAATACTAAGTTTTTTGGTGAATTCCTTGTGAAGTCATAATCTCTTTAGAATCCCTCCCCCCTTTTTTCTCCTTATTGGAATTGTGTCCTTAAGATTTCATTCTTGAGAACTTCTTATCTCTCCTCTATTGACTTCTCCTATAGAACTGTAATCCATAAAGGTCTATCTATCCTTTCTCTGAGCTCCTTTAAAAATCTGCTCTCTTAAAACCTGAGGAACTCGTCAAGCCACATTATCATTTCCTATCCTCTACCACACATTCTAAGGTGGAGTGGGCACTATCACTGGTGGTCCCAGTCATTTCCATGCTAACAACTGAGTTCCTCCGATCCAGAACAGAAGTTCTACTCATCATTTCTTCTACCTTTGAAAGCTGAAATTATAATTAAGGCAAATTATGAAATGCTCTGTGCTCCAGCAGATGGATTATTGGTTGTATATTTGAAGTCCTCCCCCTACCCTGCGCAAATATTGCTCTACCATTCTCCTATTCCAGATTTATGATATGTTTCCCAAATTCTCCATCTGTTTTTGATTTCTGTTTATGAGGCCTGTATTATAGTCCAATGACAACATGGCTTCTATTTCACAAGCAATTGATTATCATCATGATTCCCTTTCCCTATTCCTGCCAGGTTCCTAGATTTCTTCATGTATATTGATAAGACAATGCTACTAGTCCCACCACCTTTATCCTATCCTGTTTATTTTTAATATATCCTTCCAGAGTAATAATCCTGTCCTGGGTTTCATCCCACCAAGTGTCAGTGATAAATATGAGGCTAAGTTTTTCTTTCTTGCATGAGGTTTGTCAGTTTACCTTGGGTTTTTTACCAGGGGTCTTGTTGATGGCTCTCTTCTTGGTTTTTGTCTCCTGTAAATGCCTTGGCATCTCAACTGCCTTTCTTCTTCCTATGTTTTAGAGACACTTGAAGATATTTAGCTTGGATATACACTGAGTTTTCTCTTTCTCTCTTCCTTTTCAGTTGAAAGCCCTTTCAATTAGATTTGCAAGACTCCAGGCAAATACTTGTCAGCCTTTTCTAGGCACACTCCATCCCTGGCCTGTTATTCCTACATTTTAATCTGTGGTTCAGAAATCTAGATCCTATTCTCAGATGCTTCCTTCTTAATCAACTGATTACTTCCCAGACCTGACTTTTTCACCTGATCCTGTCTTTGATTGGTTACAGTAGTGGAAATTCCACCTGGGCTCCTACAGTCTTCAGTTTCCTGCCCTAGACTTTTAATCTAGAAAGCATTGCTAAAGATTACATTCTTACAGCATCATTTATTCCCACATGAATTACCAGAAATAGAAAGCAGTCATCTGGTTTGACAAACATTGGAAGGTTCTTTATCACATCCTAGATTCCTGCCCTGAGAATACAGTCAGCCTCTAATGGGAATGGCTCATGTCCTATCTTCCCTCCAGTCACCTTTCTTTGTTATCCATTGTAACCAAGAGAAAATGTTGCCCAAACAAGAAGTAAATTTTCCATATATAGCAATCCATCCCTCTCTTCCATTTTTCTTGGCCCTTATGTCCATTCTAATTGAGAGGCATATGTAGAGGTAACAAGTTAAGAATGATATATAACGTTCATGGTTTGGGGAATTTAGGCTGATAACACTGTCCTCATCATGTTACTAAGAAATCACTATTGCTCTTCCAGTTAAGATGACAATGTGAAAGGTCATAAAGGAACCCAGTTCTCCCACACAAACTATAGCAAATATATGGAAAGGGACCCAGAGCGATAATAAAGAAAAAAATGAAAAAACAAAAGTAAGCTGTGATATCTAAAACAGCACAAAAATGAAACAAAACTTCCAGAAGCCAAGGGACTCCAGGAGAGTCATTATTGTGACTGGGGAGTTTCAAGGCAACTTGTGCTCATATAATAGGGATCCTGCAGCCAAATCCTAGCCCAGTCTCTTGAAATAGAAGCATTAGGACAGAGCACAGGTCACTGTGCAGGGAGATAAGGTCCCAGCCACACGCTCCTTAGGGTACTAAGAGGCCAACTCAGGGGTGGAAATCCATGTCAGGGGCCTTGGAGGATTTCTCTAGCATGATCTCCATTATACCACAAAGGCCAATCAAAGTCCCAGAGCAAGGGCTCAAAAAGCTCACAATTAGAGGTTGTGGAAGAAGAGAAACCAAGGCTAATTGAGGCTGACCCTCCAATGGACAACTAGGAACCTGGAAAAAAAAACGGATGTCAGGGATTGATGTGGAAGGTGAGGTCTAATGCCAGCCACCCCAGTGACTTTGGCATTTAGGTAACAGAGAGTACCCAATCAATCCAAAATTGCCAGAGGGCACCAGCTTCACACAAAGTCCCAATCCAGGCCCTAAGGCTAGAAGTAGGAATAAAGAGAATACATTAACATTGAAGAAGTGACTTGATTTAAGAGAAATCTAAAAGGAATAATCCAGATTAAGACAGTAAATTTGCAACTACAAATAAAACCTCAGAGAGGAAAACAAACAAACAAACAAGCAAACAAAAAATGGCTTAGCCACAAGCTCTATGAAAATAACTAGAAGAAATAAAGCAGAAGTAGAAAGTGAAATAATAAATGGAATTATAATTCAAAAGGGGAAATAATTGAAAGAAGAATAAATAGCTTGCTTAGAACAGAAGATAGAAAAACTTACCTAACTCATTGACTCCCTTGAAAAATAGAATAGAGCAAATAGAACTCCTTATAAAATGACAAGAAATATTAAAACAGCTGGAAAAAGGTCAAGAAGAGGTAAATTAAGAATCATCAAACTCCCTGAAAACCAAAACTGAATTTTTTTAAAAAGTCTGGACACTATATTTCAAGAAATAATAAAACTGCCCAGATCTAATATGACCAGAGGGCTCAGTGAAGATAGGAAAAAAAAAATCCACTGATATCCCTCTGAAGGAAACCCCAAACTGAAAATCCCCGAGAATATTGCTGCCCACCTCCAAAGCATCCAAGTCAAAGAATAAGCAAGTCTGCATCAAAAACCCATACCTGGGTACATTATTTATGTAAAAAAAAAACCCTCAGTCTATAAGAAAGAGTTCCAATGCCAAGGAATGTGTCAAGATCATACAACAAAATGTTGGAAAAGAAGAGAAAGTCTTAGAATGTACTCTTCCAGAAGTCGAAAGATAAAGGTTCACAACCAAGAATAACCTTACTCTAGAAAACTGAATATAAATCTACATGGGATGGAGGGAGGGGATAGAAGGAAGGGAACTTTAAGAGAATAAAAGACTTTCAAGCATTCCTAATGAAAAGAGCACAACTGAACAGGAACTTTGGGAAACAGAGATGTCAAGAAAAACCAAAAAAGGTAAAGAGGTTTAAGCAAATAGAAGTGTCTAAAGGATGATGAAGTCCTTATATTCTGATGGGGGGAGGGGTAGGAAGAGTCAATTATCCCTTCAAAAAAAGAAGAGAGAGGGACTTACAAATATTATCTCATTTGATTCTTACAACATCCTCCAAAGTAGGTGCTATTTGGGGTTTTCTTGACAAAGATACTGGAGTAGTTTCCCATTTTCGACTCCAGCTTTTTTTTACAGATGAGGAAATGGAGGCAGACAGGGTTTAGTGACTTGCCACTAAGTGTCTGAGGCCAGATTTGAACTCAGGAAGATGAATCTTCCTGACTCCAGGCCTAGCACTCTATCCACTGTGCCACCTAGCTGCCCATATTCCTACTATTCCTCCTCCTTTATGAAAGGTATATATTGATGGGCAATAAAGTTACCAGCCTCATTCACAGGTGACTTTGGTAGTCCCAGAGTAACTTAATTTCCTATATAAAATTTAAAATGAGTCATCTTTTTTTTTTAAAAAAAAAAGTCATTCTGTAACTTCAAGATTGGGGGTGGGGGTCGGGTGGGGAAGAGCTTCTCAAATTAGCAACAGGAGGCTGTCATATGCTAGAAACTGTTCTCTGTGAAATTCCCTCCTCTAATTTCTAGGCAGAGGGGGGAGTGAAGCACGCACCCATCAGAGGCGAAAAGTGATTTGGAAGAGGAAATGCATGGTGTTATAATTAAAATTAATGCATATGACTTTGTGAATGATTCGTTAGAAAAACATCCTGAGCTAAGTATTGTACCGTGGTCTGACTTATGAAATAGCTAGGAAAGCGAGGCCTAACTTCCAGGCAGGAACCAAGCATAAAACCTTTGATGATATAGAGTCACCAAAGTTTATTCAATAACAGAATGACACGGTCAGGCCTGTGTGCTGGGAAAATCACTCTGGCAGCTCTTTGGAGAATGGATTGTAGCAGAGACAAGGTGAGACCCATAAGTCAATTCAGTCTATCAGGAGAACCATAATGTTTGACTAGTTAGTGGTTGGAAGAACACTGATATTCCTTGCTAAGAGCCATTAATAGAGGTACACACATTATTATCTTTAAAAAAAATTAACACAAATGTTAAAGATACTTAGATTTTTATCTAAACAGACCAATAACTCCAGTTCTCTGCCATTGGATTTTGTGTGCTATTAATAGAAATATGAAAGAGCTGAGTGTGTATCCTGGAAGGGGATTTTGCAACTTCTCATAATTCCAGTGGGTTTTCTATACTAACTGAGATATATGAGTCAAAGAACATTTTTTTTCAACTCCTATCAACATGACAGCACCAGAAGTACTTTAAGGTTGAGAATAGTGCTAGACTTGGCATCAGACACCTCAGTTTTCTCATTTTTTTTTTAAATTAGGAGATTGAACTGCATAATCTCAGAGTTCCTTTCCAGTTCTAAATCTATAACCTCACGAATGCATTTCAATAGGCACACCTCTCTCCATACAGAAAATGTTATCGTCAATGATCAGATAACTGGAAGGGCTTCCGAGGTCATCTAGCCCAGTCTCCTGATTTTGTAGATGAAACAGGCCCAGATGGGTTAACACACCTAGTTAGTGAAGGAGACTGGACCTCAGACTTCCTCCTACCCCGTCTTATTCTCTTTCTTTCCACTAAGATACATGACCTCTTCCCTGCTTTCTAGTTTCTGAGGCCATAGCAATCAACAGTAATAACGATAAAGCCTTGGTTAAGCATGTTCTCTACACCAGATGCTATGCTAAATGTAAGGCTACAGGTAGAAAAAAACAAAGGACAAAAAACTCAGTCTCTGCCCTCAAAAAGCTTTAATGGAGGAGACAATATGCAAACAGCTATGCACGTACAATATAAAGTGTTACCAGGAGGTAATCCAACAGGGGAGAGTGGGAGAGGTCTCTTGTAGGAGGTAGGACTTAGGGTGAATCTGGTATGAAGCCAGGGAAGGCAAGGGGTTGAAGTGGAAGTGAGGAGAGAAAGCGTTCTGGACGTGACCGGGGTAAGGGTGTGGGTGGGGGCAGCCAATGAAAAGGCACAGAGCTGGGGGATATAGAAGGCCAGTATTGTGGAGAAGGCCAATGTTGCTTAATCACAGAGTACGCGTGGAGGCCAGTAAAGTATAAGACTAGCAAGGTGGGAAAGAACCAGATTGTAAAGAGCTTTAAAAACCAAACAGAGGATTTCATATTTATCCTGGAAGTAATGAGCCACTGGAATTTACTGAATAGGGGGATGAAATGGTCAGGCCTGCATCTTAGGAAGATCAATTTCACAGCTGAGTGGAGGAGGGATACAGTGAGGTAGGACCTGAGTCAGGGATACCAAACCAGCAGGCTAGAGAAATAGTCCAGGAGTGGGGTGAGGAGGGCTTGCATGAGACTTGTGGCAATTTCAGAGAAGAGTGTGTACAGGAGACATGTTGTGAAGGTGGAATTGATAAGACTTGGCAACACATTGGATATGAGAAATAAGAAATGAGTTGAGGAGGACACCAAGGTGTTGAGCCTGGTTATCTAGAAAGACAGTGGTGTTCTTGATAATAGAAGAGAAGTTTAGAAGAGGGTAGGGGAGTAAAAATAATGCGTTCTGTTTTGGACACGTTTGGACATATCAGGAAGATACCTGAAGGGCATCCAGTTCAAGATATCTAAGAGGTGATTCAAAATTACCACTCAGGAAAGAGAGTAGGGCTAGATGGATCCTGGGCACCATCTGTGTACAGATGATAATTAAACCGTGGGGAGCAGATGAGATCACCTAGTGAGGTAATAGAGAGAAAGATGATAGTGTGTTAAAGGTGCTGAGGTAGACACTATATTTCCATAGCCATCAGTTCCATTTACAAAAAGCTATGTCATGAGGAGTTCCATCCTGTATGTTTCAACCTCTGGACAATAAGATAGTGTGTGGGTTAACCTAGACCAGAAATGTCAAATGCAGCCCACAACACTCCTGTTATTGTTCAGTCATGTCCGACTCTTCGTGACCCCAGTTGTGGTTTTCTTGGCAAAGATATTGGAGTAGTCTGCCATTTCCTTCTCCAGCTCATTTTACAGATGAGGAAGTGAGTTGCCCAAGGTCCCACAGCTAGTGTCTGAGGCCAGACCTGAACTCAGGAAGACTGGTTTTCCTATCCAACTCTGCCACCTAGCTGCCCTGCGACACTCCTGAGTATAGCCCAAACCAGATTCAAATGCAATTAGGGAATGTTTAACAAAATAGATAAAAACAAAATGCAACATAGGTAATGGTAATTCGTGGTTTTCTAAGTCAATATATGCCCTACAGTGATCCGTTTCTAATTGAGTTTGACACCACTGGTCTAAGGAGATAAAAAGACTACATTGGCTGTCTTAATGTAACAGGCGTCTATTTTCTGTGAAAATCTTTGGAGTAACTAAATGACCCCCCTCCTCTTAATCTGTGATTCTTATGTTTGGGTTTTGTTTCTTTTTTTCTCATTTCCAAATTTATGTATGTCTATGTCTATATATACGTATATATGTGTATATATATACATATATACACACACACACACACACATATATATATATGTATATATATATATGTATGTATGTATAGTCTGAACTAAGGTTCAAGATACAGAGATAAGCCAATTCTCCACAAGGAAAGGGGAGCTCTGTAGAAACAAAGTGTTCTAGGATGGTATTCAACCACTCAGTAAGGGAATTAAAAGAGAACTCTAGAAACAGAACTGGAATTCTGTGCTCTACATCCCATTTCAATAATAATAATAATAATAACATTTAGGAGCAGCTAGGTGGTGCAGTGGATACAGCACCAGCCCTGTAGTCAAGAGGACCTGATTTCAAATCCAGCCTCAGACACTTACTTACTCAGTGACCCTGGGTGAGTTGCTTAACTCCAATTGCCTCCAAAATAATAATCAATAATAATAGCATTTATATAAAGCACTTTAAGGTTTACAAAGCACTTTCACAAATATCTCATTTGATGCTCAAAATCTCCTTTGGAGATAGGTGCTATTATTTATTATTACAACTTTATAGATGAGGAAACTGAGGCAGAAGGTAAGTGACTTACCAAGGATCATACAGCTAATAAAGTATTTGAGGCCTGATTTGAACTCAGATCTTCCTACCTATACTCTATTGCCTGTGCCACCTAGCTGTTTCTTTGCTTTGAGGTGAAGCCTAAATGAAATTCCCTCCTGTTTTAACTGAAGGTTGCTTATTTCAAAATCAATAGTGTCAAGAAGCATCATCTGCTCTAGGTATGCTGGAAGAACTAATGATCTGATTTGCCAACCACAAAGAGTTCTGTCATTGTTTTCTGAGAATTTTATCTGTTTCTTCGAGTTTGGCCCCATCTTTGACATGTTTCCTTTTTTTTTTCTTTTACAGTGCCAGTATGTGTATTTACATCAATGTGTGAGAGATGTCTTAAGAGCCAGGAAGCTTCGTAGTGAACAAGAAAACCCTTTATTTCCAATCTATGAAAATGTGAATCCAGAGTATCACAGAGGTAAGGTCCTAATTTCAAGGATTTTTCATGGCTTCCATTTCAAAGAGCCTTATCACTCTTGTGTCTCATGGGATGTAGATTTGGTATCCAGTTGATCTCACCCATCCCGTCCATTCATCTCATCTACATCCTCCACTAGTCAGAATCCATTCTCACATTTTCATCCCCTGTGACTTGTACAAATCCATCCTTCAGTCTTCCCCAAGATGTTCTACCCAACATACTAGAAAGCCATCATCTAAGAGATGAAGTCTTCACCTTTTTGTGTGTGATGCGACCCTTTGGCAGTCTAGTGAAGCCTATGGACTCTTCTCAGAATAACATTTTTAAATGATTAAAGGAAATGCTAAATTCCAGTAAAAAGGTTAGTGAAAACAATGTATTTGGGAAATCTATCCATGTATCCCAAGTTAAGAAGGCCTGATCTAGGTCTTTTAACATATTGTAGGTTGCAACAAGATTCCCATCTGGTATCCTTCATTCTTACTAAATGAGGAATCCATCTCATTTCCAGTCATACATTTCCATGATGTTATCTTTATGCATTTAGTGGAAATAGGGGTGGGGCTAAGGAATGGGCCTGTGATTTAATTGATACAGGAAACACTGAGGTGAGGAAATTCCCTCTACCAATGCAAGTCATCACTCTGTCAGCTATTTATAATCTTAGAGGACTGCCTAGCACTGAGAAATTAAATGTTTTGCCTAGGGTCACAGAGGCAATATGTGTCAAAGGAACTGAACCAAGGTCTTCTTGACTTTTGGTCCACAGCCCTACCCACTATAGCATCCCTAGGGCCACTGTCAAAATGAAGCTTTGTCTGAAAGGAAAGGGTGGCCACATAGCTTTCTCCCATTGACATTTTAATATAGCTTTCTTTAGTGAAGTCTAGAAAGGCAAAGAGCGCCCTTCCTTTAAGCTATTAGACACAGGGAGGGTACGTTTTTATTCATAGTAGGTGGGGGGAGATGTGGTTGTGAGAAACTATTTGCATCAATGGGAAACTGGAAGGGCCTGAACAGAGTCAAAGAGACAAGCAGTAGAGTATTGAGGAATAAAGAGAAGAGGATTTATAGTAAAGACAGGAGACACAGGGCAGGAGTTACAGGAGTGTGTGGGTCACACATTCTCTTTGTCTACATCACATATTTGTCCAAGGCCATGGTAGTATGGGATTTGGAAGTGTTCTTTCTTGAACTGGGATATGCTTGTAAAAAAAAAAAAGCTGTATTTCACAGAATGCAAAAAAAAAGTTTTATTGAAAAACTGTTTATAGAATTTCTTTTTAAATCAAACTATGTGCTCACTAATTTACAGATTAGTGTTGAAACTACACCATAATTTCTGATTGGCTTTCCAATGGCCATGACTCTGAATGTTTTCAATTTCTTCTCCATGCATTCCCTAACTCTCACACACATGTTACCCCATGTGGTTTTCCTGAGTGGCTGTATTCCTCCCACCAGGTAGCACCTTCTTCCCAACTTTCTGGTGGTTCAACAATTCAACAAATATTTGTTGTGCCTACTATGTGCCAGGCCCTGGGGACACAATGCCAGAAATGAAATAGTCCCTGCTCTCAAGGGCCTGAATTCTACTAAGGAGAATGAGCCTCCACAATTATCTGGACAGACAGACTCACAGTGCTCCACTACCCTGTTTTTTAAGCTTTTGAGACACAGCAGGAGCTTCAAGCATGTATACTCTATTATCATAATCTCTGAAGATCCACAGCCATAGTTGGCATCACTTTAGAACTTTAACAGAAAATTAAATAGTTAATGGTGTATAAAAAATATAAATGTACTAGGGGGACCTGTTATTTAAAGAAATCCCTTTGTAAATTAGAGCAGCCTTTTGAATTGCTGCTGCACTAAAACTGTGGGGATTCTCTGGGTTATACTAAAGATTTGCACTTTATATATACATGTATGTATATATGTTATCTCATTTGTACTTTATATATATATTATCTCATTTGCACTTTATATATATTATCTAATTTGTGCCATATATCTTTTGTACTTTATATGTATTTATATCTCGTTTGCACTTTATATATATCATTAACACTTTATATATTATTTGTACTTTATGTATATTTCTCATATGTATTTTATATATGTAAATATTATTTCATTTGCACTTATATATATCATCTCATTTGCACTGTGTGTATATATATAGTGTGTATGCGTATATATATTTAGGTACTACGATATTTTTAATCATTCCCATTTTACAGATGAAGCTCAGAGAGATTAAATGACTTATATGTGGTCATATGGCAAGTGCCAGAGGTAGAATTTAAACCAGGTCTTCCTGGCTCTAGGCCTAACCCTCTCTGGTTTCATCACACTGCTGCTCCAAAAGCCAGGCTGTAGAGGGAAATAGTACCTAGCTGCCAAGCATACTTGGCATTCACTAGTTCTATTCATCTTTTTTTTCTTAAACAGATTTTGATTTTCACGGGGAGAAAATAGCAAAGCTACCTGCTATCTACTCTAATGACAATTTGTCATCTTCTTTTCAGATGCTGTCTATTCAAGGCATTAAGAATGTAGCAGAGATCTCTTTGGATCAACCCCATTCACTGTGTGACTGTTTTTGTTAAACTCCATATCCTAGAGAGGTGCCAGATATTTCTGTTTATATTGTGTATAATTTATTAGTCGAGTAAATTTTAAAATAATCTATGTAATTTAAGTATAATAGTTATTATTGTACATAATTTGTATTTTGTGATATTCTTCTGTAAATATGTATTTTTCACAGTGTTTAATATTAAGCTTCAGATAATACTATTTTTCCATCCTAAAGTTTTTATAAATTGTTCTATATAAATGGTTTTAACCTGTATGACAGGATCATTGGTGGAATGTCTGTGTTGGCTTTTTCATTGTCCCTTAATATCCAGGGGCAATCTTGGGGGGGGGGGGAGTCCGTCACTTATTTGATAGTCAAAGAATTGGAAAAATCTCAGAGTGGATGGCAACCTACATTTGAGCCATCTGAATCCGAGTCTACATAATGAGAAATACCAGATGAGAAGATTAATCAAGCTGATGTGTTCCCAGCATCTTAACTACCAAATAGGAAACATCAGCAAAGCTCTTCCATCAGCTATGGCTCCCCTGGCCCTCACCAGTAATTCCCCAGTGGCCGCTTCAGTGTCTGTGTAAGGATAAAGCCACATTTACAGAGAGATTCTTAAAAAAAATACTGAAGACTTTTAATGGTTTCTGCTCTGAGCAAAAGCAGAATTCTACATACAAGGAAAAATACCAGCAATAAGCCATTTCCTGAAAACTCAGTGACCACAGTAGCATGAAAGAATAGTGTAGACACCACTGGGGGCTATTTCATCTTGTCAGTGTGTCTACACAAAAAGTGTGTGTATAAGGGGGTGACTAGTGACAGGCAGCCCCTTTTATCTATTACGTTCATGTTTGAATGTTTATATGTTTATAGTCCTCTGATTTGCAGGGAGTTATATTCCTGGAAAAGGTGCTTTAAATCAGAATGATGTCAATTTAATCTGATTTTCCCCTTGTAAACAATATTATAGTGGGGGAAGGGAGAAGAGAGGAAGAGGGTTATATTTGAGACCTAAGATCCAGTGCCAACTTTTCATAGAAATGACCACAAGTACCATATTTAATCTAAAATTCCAATCGACACTTGTGTGCCAAATGATGTATACCTTATGTACTGTTCAATACAAATGAAGCAGGGCAATACAGTAACAAATCACAAACTTGTATTTTGTAGGGTGAAATTATCTCTACATAATATACAAAGTCCTTATCTTAGTTTTCCATAATTCCTTCTTAGTTTTACTGCAACAAATCCCATAAAAGGAAGAAACACTTTTATCAAGATCATGACACCAATTTCCACCCCCCCCTTATCAATCTCTTTCTCTCTCTTTTTGTCTCTCTCCCTCCCTCTCTCTCTTTTCTCTCTGAGACTCTTTCTCTCCCTTCCTCCTTCCTTTTATTTTCTTTCTCTTTTTCTTTTTTTCTTTTTTCCTTTTTTTTTTTGGTTTGGGCAATGGGGGTTAAGTGACTTGCCCAGGATCACACAACTAGTAAGTGTTATATGTCTGAGGCTGGCTTTGAACTCAGGTCCTCCTGAATCCAGGGCCAGTTCTCTATTCACTGCACCACCTAGCTACCCCCTCCTCCCTCCTTTTCTATCCTTCCACCCCTCCCTCTCATTCAGTATGTGCGTGTCTCTGTCTTTCTCTGAAGAAAGGTGGGGTACTTTCTGCTCTAGTCGCAGATGTATTCATCTGTCCCTTGCCCTCTAGTTTGTCAATATCACCATGTGTATAATTGTCAAAGCACTCCAAGTGATGAGAAGGCTCCATTTATATAAATGGACACACAGCTAGAAAAAGTCTTCCACAGTAATTTGTAGTTCATGTCAGGGAACAAGTTGGCTACATTAGAAAGAGAAATCAGATAAATACCAGAAGGAATTAAAGGATTAAGGTTTATGGGTTATGGAGATTTCACAATTCACCTTTAATTGGCCTACATTCAAGGCTGCATTATATTGTGACACTGTGTCAGGACAATGAGAAACAAGAAAGAAAGAAAGTGTGAGTATATGAGAGTAAATGAAAGATACAGAGGAACAGGAAACAAACAAGTGTATTCAGGGTTTCATAAAGTAGATGGTTTTGAGCTGCTAAGTGTTGTTGAATCATTTCAGTCGTGTGCAACTATTCATGACCCCATTTGAGGTTTTCCTGGCAGAGATATTGGAGTGGTTTGCCATTTCCTTCTCCAGTTCATTTTACAGATGAGGAAACTGAGGCAAATGAGATTAAGTGATTTACCCAGGGTCACATAGTTAGTAAGTATCTAAGGCTGGATTTGAACTCAGGAAGATGAGTTTTCTTGACTTTAGTCCTGGCATTCTAACTGTTTACCCATCTTTGAAAAGTTATAATCTGGACTCTTAAGCTAATGGTTTGTTTTGTTTTGTTTTGTTTTGTTTTGTTTTTTAGTGCAGGCTTGGGATTTAATCTTGGTAGGAAACTCCTTGTGTGTACTCCCTTCATTTATGCAGATCCTCAATTTCATCTGTAACCTTCTAATTTTAGAAAATTTCCTCCAGAACTAAGAGTTTAAAGTGATTTGCCCAGCGTCACATAGGTATCTGTCAGAGGTAGGTCTTCCTGGCTCTTCCTTCCATTATGCTATGGTGCCTCCAATCTAATATTGCTTTTTCTAAAATACATTAATGCATGGAAAGACAATGCATTTTCTTCTATAAATGGAATGTTCCAATTAACATGAAGAATCCATCACATTTAAAATAAAGTTTTTCAATTAAGTTTGAGAGAGTGAAACAGCTTACTAGTCTTATATATATGATTCAGTCTGATATAGCTACAGCCTGATAAAGTCCAGAACCCTGAGAAGCCTGCTATTTGCTTAACATCAAGTCATTTGAGCCTGGGGAAGAAGTATAAACAAAGAATTAAAGTCATATAGCTCCCCTCCATCCCCAGTCTGTGATGGCAAATAAAGCTCAGATGTTGAGCAAGATCTGAGAGGTAGAAAGAGAGAGTTGTGATAACTGAAGACAGGAAAAATGAGCTCTTTTAGTCTGGTCCATTAAAAAAAAAATAGCTTCCTCCAATACACCTGTCTAATTTTAAATTTCCCTAGCAACAAATACTTTGCTACTCCCCTGAAGATACTAAATATATCCTGTAGTTGATCTATTTTGTAAAAAAAAAAAGTGTTTCCTTGATAGCCCAATTTTATGTATTTTCATTAAGGCTCATTATGTGCTTATCATAGTAAGTGATCCATTGCTTCTCTTGGTATGCGTGCACCTGCCTGTTTATGCACTACTTGTAATCACTGTATCCTGGTGCTTTCCAGCTAACAAATGTTAGGAGACTATCATAAGGAATCTTAGTAATCATTTATCCAACCTATAATTGGCTCCTTTAACTTCTCATTCAATCAAAACTCTTATTTCTCACTTTATCATCTGGTTGTACTTCTCTGGATGGTGGCCAATATTCAATGTCATCAGTCTACGGCAAGGGGTTCTTAACTCTTTTCTGACAATCTGGAGAAGCCTTGGGACTGCTTCTCAGAATAATGTTTATAAATATGTAAAATAGAATGCATAGAATTGCAAAGAAAATCAATTCTATTGAACCACAGTTCTCAAAATATTTTTAAAACAAATTCATGGACCCCCTGAAATCTACCAATGGCTCCCTGGGAGAAGATTTGTAGACTCCATATTACAAACCTCTCATACAGGCCTTTGAATACTCCTTGCCAACAAACATGAAATGACTTACCCATGGTTGTAACAAATGCCTCAAGATTCTTCTTAGAGATCTTAAATACATATTCTAATTGATCTGTCTGTTAAAGTAAGCATCAAGGGTAGGATCTGAAACTGGATCCTCTGACTCCAGAGCTAGACATTGAAATTAAGCACACAGATTTAGGGATACTTCATCAATGAGTTATCGATATTCATGACCCACCCTCCAGAAATGGAAGGACCTGATCTAATGAGAAAGTCTTAATCAATTCCTTAAAAAAAAACTGTTTTAGTGTTTTCAGGCACCCTCTTTAGTTTAACAGATAAGACTTAGTTGCATGAAGCAACTGTGCCTTCTTAAAGGGAGCACTTTTCTCATAGATCAAAGGTCCAGGCTTCCTCTCTAAAATGGATATCAAATGTTCTGGAAAAGTCACATGTGGCGATATTCTGGTCCCATATCAAAAGTACTTCCTGGTGCCATCTATTATAAGGTAGCAAAGACTTTTGAAAAGCAGTGTCATCACTAACTAGAGTATGTAAGCAGAGAAAACAATATTCCTTTCATCAGTCAAGATGCTCTTCAAAAACATTTCACCTATTTCTATTAAAAGACACTCCCTCTTCCCTTATTATTATGGATAAGGATAGGGACTTGGACTGTGATTTCATTGGTATAGGGAACTCCCAGGGGAGGCACACCCTCTACCAATGCAGTTTGGCACCTTCTCTGCAACTTAAAGTGTTAGGAAGTTGACTAGCTAAACCTATACATGGCTATCATTTTTTTTAACTGAATATTAGATTGTGCACTCCTGAAACAGGAACTCTATTTTATTTATCTTTGCATCTCTCGCAGGGTATTCTATGTCATCAATGCCTAACAAATGTTTGCTGAATGAATCAGTGGGTGGATAGATGAATAAAGTAGTTTAGCCAGTCAACAAATCAATTTGATCAAACAATTGGTTTGATTATTTTTTTTCTATCATATTGACCACTATTCAACTGAATTGATCTCTTGGCTTTGTCATGCTAAGTAGTCTTCAAAACCACTTGGCTATTTTCATAACTTTTGAATATAACTTTTAATGTAGCCTTAATTGTAGGAATCTATTCAGCTCTAAAAATGTTTCCAGCCAATTGAAATATTTCATTCTAAGATAACATACTTGGTTTGTAGGGAAACTCCAAAAAGAAAACAAAAGTCTTCAATATATTTTTGTTAAGATGATTTTATTTGGTGTGTGTACGTATGTATGTGTTTGCATACGTATTTGTATAGACACTCCCATTAAGTGAGGACAATGTTACTTAGTGCTCTTAAAAATAGCAATTTATGCAATAGAAATAAAAGGTCTATTGCCAGTTTTGCTGAATCTTTTTTTTATAACCCATATGCCAATGCTTTAGAAAGTCTTCCTATCACATAGAATTCTAAAATAAATTATGCAAAACAGAATAAGTCATACTGTGAACAATGTCAGACAAATGCAATTTCTGCTGCTGTGATTATTTATGTAGTTTAAACGTGATTGGCAAATCCTTCCTAGAATTGCCACAAGAAGGATTCATGATCCCCAATTCACGTTTTTAAATAGCATCTCTTAGGAATCACCATTCTCCCAATATAAACAAAGCTTTCTTTTACATTCTGATAGTGGTGGTGATGGGTATTCATGAATAGCTTACTGTGAAAAGCTTTGTGGCTTTGAGAGTTTCTATATCAGAGTTGGCCATATCCATCCATTCCATAAACTATTTTAAGAAAACCTTCAACAGATTATGCCAGCTAAAGAAGCACAGATCATCTCCTCCATCTCTAGTTTGCAAATTCCTCCTTGGAACAAAAAGGCACCAGTAGCCTTTAAGAGGGGGTAGGTGGGCAAAGTAAGAACCATGTTAGTGAAATTCCAAAAAGGTGTTTGGCCAAAACCATCACCTGAGGTATGTAGATTGTAAACAAAATGAAGGAAAACAGTGTTCTTTCACATGTTTTTTGTTTCCCCATAATAGTATCAAATCTGGTGCCTTGCATATAGTAGATGCTAAATGTATGCTTGTTGAATGAAAATGTCCACTGGGTATAGCTTTGGTATTCAGTGTACATTAACATTAAATCTCATGGATGTTTCTCAGGCTTTTCCTTGGCTTATTTGAAATGTAAATATACCCCATGAGTACATCAGGTGATTGAACTTAACATGTTCTATAATAGAGCACTTACTTTTTATAGCTTTTGAAACATCAGTCATTCTTATTTCTACAAATCTGGTAATTAAGAGTGGCCATAGACCCTACTATTTTCCTCATGTTATGTTATGTACTCTCCATGGTGTTTTTTTTTAACAAACTCTGTTTGAGCACAGAACTATATTAGTGCTGTTTATTTAAGTTACATATTTGTTAAGTATATTTTTATATTTGGTAACTGCAGTCGACAAAACTGTGAGTATATTTTATGCATTTTCTCAGTATATCAGGAATAAATCCATGGTTCATTAAAGAAGGTAGTCCTGTCTTCCATTCCCTTTTTACATCTTTCTGCATTATGGATTTGGGAAACCTTGTGGCTCAGGTGAAAGGTCAGAGGAGACTGATTTTTAAATGAGAACATCTTCAGAGAACATTAGCATCGCCAAGCACTGTTGCCTTAACCTTTAAACCTGTA